TTGAGAACAAATGCGTTTAGTAAACTTTTTGTTCCGGGCACATTTTTGCAAAAATTTGTGCCAAGAAAACGATTTTGGAAGAGAAACAAGAAGTAAAAAAGTTGCTTCTTGTTTCTCGACAATTTTAAGAATCGGTTTTTTTTTTCTTATTTTTGTGTTCTTCTTCCCTGGGTGGGCGGCCGTGAAGCCATAGCCCAGGGCGGCGAGGTGTCACGGCCCTCGCGCGAGGCAGGCTGGACCCTCGCCGCACAGCGGCGGCCTCGCCCGGAGGCGAGAGGCTGGACCTCGCCCGGATCTGGCGAGGCCGAGCCTCGCCGTCGCGACCCAGCGGCCGAGCCTCGCCGGTGGGTCGCGACGGCGAGGCTCGGCCTCGCCAGGGAGCTCACTGCCCGTCTCGGCGAGGCCGACCTGGCGGCGAGCTCGCAGGTGGGTCGCGACGGCGAGGCTCGGCCTCGCCAAGATCTGGAGAGGCAGAGGCCTCACCGTCTGCAGGCGAGGCCGACCTCGCCGTGGGTCGCAACGGCGAGGCTCGGCCTCGCCGGATCCGGCGAGGAGCCCGGCCTCGCCGTCTCACGGCGAGGCCGACCTCGCCGTCGCGACCCACCTGGCGAGGCTCGGCCTCGCCCGGGCGCGAGGGCGACCCTTCCCTCCGCCGCGGCCGGCCAGAGAGGCGACCCTTCCCTCCGCCGCCGGCGGCGAGGCCGTGACGCCCTCGTCGGCCCGGGCCGTGGCCGTGGCGCATGGCCAACGAAGAAAATGGGTAGAAAGAAAAAAAAATTAAACAATTCAAAATATTATTAAAATATTATTTAGGAACAAAAATTTTGTGTAGTTACCAAACGCATTTACGTTCTTTTCTACTGCAGGAATAGAAATTTTGGACAGTTTATCAAACGCCTTCAAATACTCGAGAAATTGTTTAGAGGCACGTAATAAAAAAATCATTTCGTTCGTAAATAGTTAAGTGCAGAATGGTATTATGCGCACCCCTAACCGCCGGGAATTAGTCCGCAAGCCAGTGACTTGGGCTTAGGAGCCAGGTATCATGCCGTGGACCCAGGCACAGACATGGGGTCCTGAGCCTGGCCTCTGTAGATTCGAGCCAGGTCGTGGACCATGGTAGGGTGTCGGGATTCCCGTGCCCAAACGTCGTTGTCTAGTCATATTATGGAAGGTGATTTTCGATTTTCAAAAGAGGAAATTATCTGTTTAAATCTGAGCATAGATTTTTCGCCGACTATGAGTAGATTTCTCCGTCGGCCCATTTTCTTAAGTGATCCTCCAATTCCGGAAAATGGGAAAAACGTTTTTCCACATAAAATTTTTTGACAAAACGGACGAAATTAGCAATCTCAAAATTTCTTCGACAACGATGAGGGGAGAAGAAGCAGCTAATTTAGCTTGTACACGGGGGGGAAAGTGATTGCGTGTCCGTACGCACGTATCAAATCAAATCTCAATCACATTTTAATGTGAATCTCGAAAGGTCAAAAGAGGGAAGGGAAGGGCTTGCGTGGGCTGGAATTGGGATCAAAGGAATTGTGCACGAAATAATCAATAGATATATAGGTGGACCAACCATACCATATAAAAATAAAAATAAAATATTTTTATAATGAGATGAAGTTGCTACCGGATCAGATCGGATCATATCGGATCGGATCGGATCGGATGAGGCTGCTCTTCTAGCGAGATGAAGTTGCTGGGCCAAACGAGAGAGAAAAAGAAGAGATTCGCGTGGGCAGGAGAGGAGGGTAATAGCCATGTGCCACCGGCTGTGTGGGATCGTGGAAAAGGATGGACGAATTCCTCCTCCCAACCCCCACACCACATGTGATTCCCGATCCTCTCAGCTCACAAAAACACACGCGAGGAATCGACCAAACAGGGACCTGCCAGCCGATCATTCTCGACTCCTCATCTTCCTTTCTCCCTTTTTTTCCTTCTTTTCCTTTCTTCCTCCTGAATAAAGATGCGTTCGAGACTCTTCGACCGCCCCCGGATCGATCTCCCGGGGTAAGCGATCGAAGCCGAGGATGCCTCCTGAGAGAATGCTCGGGTCGGGAGCCGTTCCTCTTCTGCGGTCCGGAGATATCTGCCCTCCCCCGCTATGGAAACGAATTTTGGTTTGGATGTATCCATCCCCAGAATTATATGTACTCGAGCATACATGGAAGTGAGGATGATTACCGAAAAGTTCTAAACCTATTGCACTCGTGATCAATTCAGTCTTTAAACTTTTTCATTGTACCAATCCAAAGGACCAAATACAGCTTCAGGGTATGCGATTGTCCGATAGCTCAAAGCCGAGAATGCTTGGGTCAGGAGTTAGTTCCTCATCTGCCGTCCGAAGATATCTACTCGGACCCTCCCCCCCCCACACCCCCCCCACGGAAACGAATTTTGGTTATGAAGAAATTGGATTTCTTGGCCCGGTCGAATCGCGAGCGGACTAACGTATGTTCCGTGTCAAGAAGCGGGTCGGATTTGAGATCCCGAACTTGTAGCCCTATACGTCTCGAACGCATCTCGGATTTGATTTTTCGGGCGCCCGATACGTGATTTTTCGACTAGATGAAAAAAATCAGATGATATTTTTAGTAGAATAGTTGTTGCAAAGTGATGTGACAAGAGGATGGGCCAGAAGTTTCAACCGTTTGGCGAGCTCGAGCATATATGATTTAAGGCTTCATTCAAGAACCCGACTCGAAATTGAGTCGAGATCGAGACACGCGTGCGGAGTTCAGTCAGCTTCACCATTTGAGAAGATCAGCCCTCCCAAATCTATTTTCTTGGGAATTCCGTTTATTTCGCGAAATTTTTTTATCCAAAAAATAATCCTTCGTATCACTTGATATAATTAGTCAACGAAAAGTATTTTCATTATCGTCAATATTTTCGTGAACGACGAAAGCATTTTTTCGTTCATTTATTTTTGTGATCGACATAAGCAATCATTTTTTATGAAAATACTTTTCGAATCATGGATTTTTTGAGAAATAAAAGCACCCGTTGAAAATTAAATATCCCTCGACTCCCCCTCTCCGGTAACTTCAAGCAAGGGACGGACCAATCACATCGTCTACGTGTAATAAACATCCGACCACATGCAACTTGAATTTTTGGATCACCGAGTTTTGATTGACTTGTTAAACCACGCAACATTGGTTGGATGAGGTGTAACCCTAGTATGAAATCCCTTTTTCTTCTGAACTAATTCCTACTTATCTGCAAAAAGATCAAATTTCCCGGCCCACGACCTTTGTCAATGGGCTTTATTTTGTAACTAGGCCCAATCCCTTCGAAGACCGCTTGTCTCGATGATGAATGATAGAGAGCATGCCACCTCTCTAGAAATTGTTAACACCCATTTTTGTCTTGCTTCGCATGTTACAATGAATTCTAAATTAGCTAAGCGATACAAATGATCATTTTCAAGAAATTTTTAATTGATGCCCAAATCAAGTACCTTCCAAAAACCACATCATCTCTCCGTTCTTTCTCTCTTTAACACTTCACATTTCACGCGCTCACTCTCATTACACATATTGTGAAGGAACTCGAATCAATTTGGAATTCAGATTTGATTGGAGTTTTTTGGGGAAAAAAAGAAGACAAGAAGGTGAAGAATGGATTCGATGAAGTCCTCAAGGGCTATGGGTGCGTTTGGTTTAACATTCCCAAGGGGCTTTCGGCCTCTAAAGCCCCTTGGGGAAATGCTAAGGCGTTTGGTGAGCATTTCCAATGAGCTTTCGACCGAAAGCCAGAATTGAGAATGCTGAAAGCCCAAGGCTAGTCTGAACCAGTTTTGAGCTTTCAGCGTTTGCCTAATACTGAAATCAATTTTTTTTCTTCCGAAAACTACTTTCACTAATTCTTCAATATTCCAATTTTGCCCCTCATAACTGTTCATCTTCTTTGGGCTGAAGGTGGCCAGCGAGGGCGACTGGCCAGAGCCGCTCAAGGCTAGATCGGGCCGGCGGCTGTTGCCCATCGCCGGCTCCGATGAAGGGTAAGTTCTTTTTTTTAATAGAAAAAAATTCCAACGCCCTTTGCAATATAAAATTTGCCAAATACTACTTGGATTAAAGAAGCTTCACAAAGGATTTTTTACCAAACGCAATTTGCATTTCTCCAGGAGATTTTAAGTTAAAGGTATTTGCATTCCTTCAAAGCCCATTGGGAATGCTGAACCAAACGCACCGTACAAATGAGGTGGAGGAGCAAGCCTTTCATAAGCGGACTTACCGCTGCCTCCTCATCCTCATCACCCTCCTCCTTGTTGTGATCGTCACCAAGACCCTCATCCATTGTCGCAATAGCTTCGGCTCCGACATTATTGGAGCCACTCCCGCCTCTAAGCCGATTCCCTTTGCCTCCCTTAAGGGTGTGTGTAGCATCAGACTCCCGCTTCTCTAGCATCTTCGGTGCCGAGACTGCCAATGCCACCGCTCCGGAGCAACTCTCCAAGCATTAATTGGGACATTAATCTTATGCCTATCCTCGACCTTAACGAAGAAGATGATGAAAAGGGACAATCACGGCTTTGATCAGAAAGAAAATGAATAGGGCAGAAGAGGGAGCAAGAAAAATTTTAAAAATTTTGGATGAAAATAACCCTGACCTAGTTGTCAGAATATGCACTCGAGATGCATCTCCTTGCTGGCTGACAAGCCATGGCCTTATCTGAGACTAAATAACCACTTCGGGTCGTTATTTAAGACAAAATCTACTTCAAGTCTTTTTTTTAGATAGCCTTACTTGGAATTTTCCCTGAATCCAATACGATATAATGGTAACCTATAAATAAGGAGGATTAGGACTGGCGATCAATCCATGCGGATAATATTCTTGAATTTATGAGGGTAGGGATTCACCATTTCATATAGTGCCTCTTTTTTTTTTCGGAATTTCGATAAATCTCAACCGTCGATATCATCCTCGTTTTTCACGAACTATTAATGTTTGAGATTTTATGGACACACCTAGGCGAACGAAGTTAAGGCGGTGATGTTGGCGCGTTCATCCCCTAAACGGTAGACAGTTCCTGAGCCACAGAGCGAGCGAGCGAGAGAGAGTGGCGAGAAAATGCTCGCCCACAACTTGGTCGCCCCGGCGTCGTCCTCCGCTCCTCCTTCCCCGTTCGCGTTCGATCGCCGCCGCCGCCGCCAGCCTCCGAACCACCCTCTCTTCCCCGACGCCTCCCCTTCTGGACTCGCCGGAGGTAAGCGTCCGCGCTGCTGCCTCGAAGTCAACCCAACCAGCGAGTTTTTAGACGCCCATTGTTCTTTGACGAGTCCGTCGATCCCTTTGTCGGGCAGATGAGTCCGTGTCGATTTCGTCGTCGAGATGATCTTGCGATGGGAATCCTAGGATAGAATCGCGTTGATCCGCCTGCTTCTCTCGGCTCCGTCGAGTGAAACGCGAATCGGGTCGGCTTCGATTCGTGCGGCGTAGCTTCGGGCTGAGTGGGTGAAATGTTGCTTGCCGGAGCTCCCGTTGTAGGAGAACGGCGTTTGGTCGGGCAATTCGAACCGAGTGAAAGAAGGAATCGAGTTGTTTCTTCTGAAGTCAAATTCTAGGGAGGGAGAGGTGAGTAGTTAGGTCGAAGTTAAGTGGGTTGAGAAAGTTTGTCCCAAAAAAAGTGAGAGATTTGGCTTATTAGAAAGAAGGCGCAAGTATCAGTAATGGGGGGTATGGGCCGGAGCGCGGTATGCAAGTCTAATGTTGTGGATTATGCATGTCTAAAGCCTTTCTCGCGTAAGGATTGGTTTGGCCGTGGTGCTTTGAAGAGATGGAACGTTTGCTTACGCTATCCATTTTGAAGTGGAATAGAATTAGGATCGAGAACTTTTGAAAATTTGGAGATATCGAAATTCATGGAGTCATTGCACTAGAATAAGGCACTTGATCTTGGCATTCTTAGTATCGATACGACAGTACCGTGTTTCTTGGAGATTTAAATCGTCGAGATGCGTAGCATGTACATCATGAAAAAAGTGCTCGTCTATTGGATTTCCGCGTTCTTATATCTTTTGCTTATGAAGATAAAAGTCATGCAAACCAGCTTGATCAATGTAAATAATGGTAACCAATGGAGGCGAGTTTTTCTTATCATGAATTGAATTCAAAGGTGCTTGTATTTGTACATCCCAAATCTCATCGTTATGTGAAACTGGAAGTTGTGAAACAACAACCAAATGTTTGAGTAGGCAGGTGATGCAGATTAAATAAGCCATATCTTCAGCTTAGGGAATGAAAAAATTGCAGATAACTTTCTCACTTTGGCTATGTCAAAATATTATTTATTGTTTGGCAATTTCTTGCATTTTGAATTCCAAGGCTGAAGTGTTTGCATTTCACTCAGTCTATAAGATATGCTTCGTCTGTTGGATCATCACCATAACACTCTTTGTTTGAACATTTGAACCACACGGATAAGAAAGGAGAAACTGGAAAACTTTAGTTGCATTTTCTAATAGCTAAAGGTCCAATTCTCTGGTACTGATCTTTCCTTTGTTCTCTCGGCTTCTACCATTAATGCATGATCACTTTCTTTCCTTTAGTCTCTTAGTTGGCAATTGATTGATATCTGGCTTACTTTTTGCAGCAAGCCGAAGGTTTAAAGTTTTTCCGCTCAAGGCAAGCTTTTGGGAAACCATAAGATCAGGGTAATTGACGAATCGTAAAAGCCTTGATTATGCTGGCAAGCATATGATGCACGTGCACCCGAATTGCAAATCAAATGCTTTCCGGTTTCTGATCATTCATCTCTATTTGAAGCGTTAAATAGCTATCCTTTCTTGTGGTATTTACATCAGCATGGTTGTTCCGCTGTACGAAACTTTTTATTTGAGCTACTTTGTTTTTTAAAGCTTTTAGTGGCATGAGGGATTTTGAACAATAGCACTTTTTATTTATGTTTTTAAATTCTATTTTCTTTGCTGAATTGCTTGCGAGCCTTATCAGGCGAAGAAAATGGATATCACTATCAGTACATTTGTCACCTATATATTTATCGAAATCTCATAGCTTGGAATGCTTTTCCAGTGAAAGCATAAATTTGAAGTTGGGCATCGTTTATTTTCGCAAGTAGTTTAGTTCATGGCCACAGCAGCTTATTTTAATCAAGAAAATGGTCCATTTTGACATAGTAAAAATTATCGTATAACGATGTAAAAGAGGTTAGAGTAACATTGATGAAAGGCCTGTGTTTATTAGAGATATATTGGACATGGTGAGAACTCTATTTCTGAAGCATCTCAGTTTACTATTCATTGTGATTGTATGAGCACAATCAAACTTGAGGCACAAATTTTACTATACGGAGCTGATTCTAAAACCTACATGGCGTGCTGCAAGAAGCTTTTAATATTACCACAACTATCAAGTCCCAACCAGTTCTAGATGGGACGAAGCTAAGTTTTTTACTCATGAAATGTGGGTTCCAGAAATATGAAAAGCCCTTGTAATTTAACATACAAGTTCATTTGTTGCTCTTGATGATTCTCATATTTAACAGTTTAATTTTGGATGCCATGTTATTTCTTCTTTGCTAGATTTCACCCATTTCTTATTCCTCATTCAAAGCTTTTGTGCGACACACATTGGCATGCCTTTTTCTTTGTGGTGTATTCATTAGCAGATCCTTTTGCCAATAATCTCTGGTGGTATTTAGCCGCCTGTTTTATGAAAGTTCACCAATTTCATTTTTTTGGCAGTTTATTGAAGGACAGTGCGACGCAAATTGTTGATCCACCAACCATTCCTGAAGAGGAGGAAGAGATCTTACCCCAGGAGTTTTTACTATTTGAGAAGACTCTACCAGATGGCTCACTTGAACAAATAATATTCTCATCTGGTGGTGATGTTGATGTGTATGATCTTCAAGCACTATGTGATAAGGTGATTATAAGGTCATTGTTGTGTCTCTTCACCTGCAAGAGCTGGCTAATACCTAATTCTCTTTCGGTGGTTAAATTTGTATTTGCAATGCAGTGTTAGGTATATCTTCAGGTTTCTTTGAGCTGCTTAGTGTAGAAGTGGAGTTGATTCGCTCGATCAAGATCATTCATGTCAACTCTGCTTTATTTCATCCCTGTTTTTATATTAATGTATTAGCTAGAACATTTGTGCTTCCAGTGGTAATTAGAAATAAATCAGTTTCACCTGTTTTGTAGGTGGGATGGCCTCGGAGGCCGTTGTCCAAACTGGCTGCAGCTTTGAAAAATAGCTACATTGTGGCCACATTGCATTCTGTAAGGAATTCCCCTGGCTCAGGTACTTTAACACAAGAAATTAGTGTGTTGCAGTAGATCCGTTTATACCCGCTGTATACGCATTTTCCTTTCAGTAAAAGACTATTTGATGATAGTCTTATTGTACCTGCAAAAGTTACCTACAGATGAGAGTGCCCAAACGAAGCTCATTGGGATGGCACGTGCTACATCTGATCATGCCTTTAATGCCACCATTTGGGATGTCCTTGTTGATCCTTCCTATCAGGTAATCTTGTGTCACAGACTAAGCTAGTGTTTCAGAGAAATATTTCTTTGTAAGAAAACCATAAGAGATCTGGATGAGATTTAGTTGAGCGAGTTTTATTGGCTTGACTGATAACTGATAATTTGAAAAGTGGAGAAACGGCATCTTTTGTTCCTAAGGTTTCACCATTCTAATGGTTTAGTCCGTGATCATTGAATCCTGAGGTTTGAGTCTTTAAATATTGAATTTTGTGCTATTTCGGTCCTTGGCCTTCATTTGTGTCGCTTCTGTGCCATAATCTTTGCATATGATTAAGCTGAATTATGGCATCATTACATAATTGAGATAGCCAATCAAAAGGTATACCTTAGAATAATCATTTATTAAGGCATTCCTAATATGTAGTGGATATCTGTGAAGTGACACTGTTTCAACTAATTGCTAACATGCTACTATTACTTATTATCCCAACTCTTAATTAAAACTTTTAATTATGGTATAATACAGATCTAGGGACCCTTGTGCTTTGTTTGCAAAGATGGAGAATTTTACCCCATTTTCCACACTCACCACCCGAACAAAACATTAAGGCCAACATTCTGGGAGATTTTGTGGGATAGTTATTACCTGATAATGACATATGGTGCCATGGTTATTTACTGCTCGAGAATAACCGGACGCTTTTTTGTGTTCTGATTTTACATACCACACAGCAGTTGTGTTAATGAAGTTCTCTTCATCCAGGGTCAAGGCCTTGGGAAGACTCTTGTGGAAAATCTTATCAGGACTCTTCTGCAGAGGGACATTGGCAATATATCGCTCTTTGCCGATAGTAAAGGTATGTGAGCAGTGATGTTGTTTGATCCTTCCCATAGGATATATTGTCCATGGCAACTGATTGAGGTCATACCTCAGCTCTTCTTTTGAAAAAAGAAAAAAAAGAAAAAGTTTGTACAGCGGCTTCTCTTCGCCAATGACAAAGCGCCTGAAAAGCAGATCTCAGTTTAAAGCCTGTTACTACCTTTGAGTAAAGTCAATCTTGTTGGAGTTTGAATGACTTCAATGTATACCCAAGTTATGAGACTTGATGCATCTGTTTATCTATAGTCATTTAATCTGCGCCTCTTTGTGGGAGACGGAAAATTTGAAATCAGTAAATTGATTTTTCTGAGGTGAAGTGCTTTACCTTCTAATATTTGGGAGGAAATAATGATGATGGACTAGAAGTAATAAAATATGTAGGCCATGCAAACTAGAAGAAATAAGAGAAATCATGTCCAAAGTTTTTCCATCTGTTTCCTATCCCTGTTGTCATCATGTCGTGGTTGCAGACTGGAGGATTTTTTTTTTATGGGGTCGAAGCAGACTGGATGTTGGCTCTTATGACAATGCTATACTTTTTCAAAATTGCTGAAATTTGATTCTTATTGTTATTTTTGTTGTTATTACTATTGATAGATTATTAGCTTATCCTGATCTCTCTTCAGGTTATATTTCTCTTTTTTATTTGTTTTATGTTTTTGAAAATTTTCGAAGGCTGTAATATCATCATAGAGGTTGAGGCAAATGTCTTGACCATGCTACTTTCACATATCCTTTTGTTGTTGTAAATATATTTTGCAGAACAAACCCACTTTTGATTTCCAATGCTGCAGAAATTACTGATAACACGCATCTTACTATTCTTGGCAAATTGATTTGCTTCTCAAATTTTCTTTTCCTCTATGAGCATCGATCTCCTCCCTCCTATGTACCAGCATGTGCTTGACAGTATGAGAAGTGCATGATCAAATCTTCTATGTTCTGAGAATAAATATATCAATGAAATGCATATATCAGTTTGAGGATATTGTTTTTTAATTATTGGTTGCCTCTGATTCCAGCTGTTATGAGTGCTGTCCCTGGAGATATTGGAAGCTTTGACTAATTTTAGAGTTCCTCAATTGGCTTTGATTTTGATTTTGATTTCGAGTAGATATGCGTTTTTCACTTTGCTTTGTCACTTTCATTGCAGTTGTAGAGTTTTACCGGAACTTGGGTTTTGAAGCTGACCCAGAGGGAATCAAAGGAATGTTTTGGTACCCGAAGTATTAGCGGCCGGTTCTTTACCACAAGCATGATTTTGCCGCTGCAGAGCCATGGGAAAAGCCCTCGACATTGATGATGGAAGACCAGTAAGATGAAGCTGTGGCATGTTTTTTACTCAAGAAATGTACATTGTAAAGGTCGATCCTGTAAGACCGAGTCCAAAAATGATTCTTTGCTGGGTCTTGTCTCTCAATTGTAGCAATTAAGCGCGATCCAGAATTTTTCAAAGTCAAGACGATAGCGGTGTTATTCTTCTTTAGAATAGCAATTTGTTTAGTAGGGACGGGGGGTGGTTTTCAAGATTCTTGTGGGCAAAAAGTTCAGATGCTCGGCCGCTGATTTCACTCTCACGAGCCTTCATTATAACGCATGAACTGGTCTCGCAACTATTGTTGGTCAAAATAGCTGTACTTCTTTGTACTTCGTTTCCTCGTCGCCGTGAAGCTTTATTATATCCTTGGCAGCCGTGCTGTGTCACGCTGAGATTGAGACTTGATTTTCCGTCCGGCAGTGCCTTGAAAAGAAAAGGATTGTGCACTTCAACGGTGGTTTATGAATCTACTCAATTCATTTTGCAGATTATGCATCATCTATTACACATACTGTAAAGAACCAGGATTACATTCATCTAGTCTGTATCCTGCCGTCTTGGGATTCAGCTGGGATCTTTGCTGCAATGGCTTGCTCTTGATTTGCTTGCTTGAGAGCACAATGAGGCTTTGACTTGCTTGCATTTGGTGTGTTACCCAAATCTGGGATCACCTCTGCCCTTGCTTACCTTGAGTCACATTCCATCTTCCGATACGAGTTTTACTGTAGTTAGGACAAATGGTTATGATAGCGGTGGGGTATCTCCATCATCAGTGGTTACTTCCAAGCAACATCGTAGCCACTCAGAGAGATTGATCACAGTAACTAATCACATCAAAAGTCAAACATCAGGCACTAATGTGGGGTTCCGAGCGGGATATTCGGATTCGACGGTCCGAATCCAATTTCGCTACCCGCTCGAAAACGCCCCAACGATTATATTGTCGCTGCTTCTATCAATGACGTTTTCTTTTTTTTTAGGTCGATGCTTAGATACTTTGAGGGATTCAGAGTTGATTCGGACAACGTGATATTTTAAACGCCTTGTCGTGCGATTTTAGGAAGGAAGTAATTAAGTCATCCCAACTATTAATTAAGTAAATTCCAAAAAGCATAAAAATAAAATAATGGGGGGTCCCTCCACCGTTGGAACGTGCGGGTGACGTCGTCAGCGGCGGCGTTTCGGGCCAATTCTGACTTTTTGGAGGAGGGGGCCCTCCCAGAACACAGATTTTTGCCCCCAGGGTTGGCTGGTTTTGAATTCGACGGTGGGGCTGGGGAGCAAAAACAACGTGCTCGCGTCATAAATATATCTTTTTTTTAGGAAAAAATTCAAAAATTAAGTAAATTGATAATAAATAATTAATGATGATGGCAACAAATAATCCCGTATTGGAAGGGGGGTGGGGAGGGGTTTATTCCGTGGAAGCTACTGTGCCCTGCCATTCCTAAAGTCCTCTCCTTTTTTTGGGCCAGAGACGCGCTTCTTCTTCTCCTCTTCTTCTTCTCCTCTTCCGTGTCTCTGGCTCTTTGGATCATTCTTGGCTTCCGTTGTCTCGGTAAATTTCTCCCCTTTTGATATTTGTTGCAATGCTTCTCCTCGGTTGTGGATTCCTTGTCGGCCTCATCGATCGGCCGCCGCCCCGGGGTTCTTCTTCCCTACCCGAAATTTCGATGGTTTGATCAGGCATTTCGGGGTTTCGGGGATTTCTTTGTTTTTTCTGCGGCGGCTGGTGCGTCCTCGATCGCTTGTCTGATCTCGATGTGCGCACCGTTGAATTCGTGAATTGATGTTAGGAAAATTCTGGGTTCCCCGTTTTTTTTTTTTCTTTTTCTTTCTTCTGTTTGGTCAAACGGAGTCAATATGCCTCGCGGGTGCGTGTCCTTTCGGCGGATTTCCTTTCCCTGTTGGATGTTTGCCCTTGAATCGTCCGATGGTGATCGATCGTTTATTTCTCGAGCAAAATTTTTTTGTTTTTCCGTTAGCGGCGATTCGAGAATTGATTAGAGATGGGGCTAATGAGCTGCTAAGTTTGAAGGTTTTTGTCAATTCCTGGCTAGTTTTTGGTGACCTTTTGTCTTATCTGGTCTTTCAAGTTTGTACCTTGGCCTGCCTAGGAAGGAATTTGCCCTTGCCATGGTATAATTCGGCGATCTCTGTTACGAATCGGTTGATATTGAGAGCTTTGCTCATGGGATGATAATTTTTTTTTTTACTGCAGCTGGGTCGATATCGGAGAATTGTGCGGCAGTGAGTTCTCAATCCTTGGCCCCTGCACGTACATTTGCTTCTGTTGGCGTGATTCTTACCCGCGCGCAGGGGGGTCGTTTTCGTATTTGTAGCACTGAGCATATGGGAGTTTCTCTCTTGCGAACTCTCTGCAAAACAAATTATTTGTTGCCGTCAGTGGTAGAAAGACCGAATGGTCTGCAAGAGGATCACTCGGGGCATCTCTTGATATATTGAAGGCCCCATATCTTCTTCGTGTGTATGTAGAAGAAGATGGTAGCAAAACGAGTCCTCTTATTCTTCATCTTTTCCTTGGTGGCATTTGATTGCATTGCGGCACAATCTGAAAATGACATTACACGTCTGAGAGCTGCCCCTCACAAGAATGTGGCAAGTAATGTCATAGATGGTACTGGCGAGGAGAAGGTCCTAAGTTTTGATGGTGCAGGTAACATACTGGGCGGGAGGAAGAATGCCGACAGTAAGGTCTCAGTCTCTACTGTTGCTTTATTTACCCTGGCAATGGCTGCTGCGACTGGTCTTGGTGCTGTTCCATTCTTCTTTGTGGAGCTTGATCAACAATGGGCTGGATTATGCAATGGAATGGCAGCTGGTGTAATGCTGGCTGCAAGTTTTGACCTTGTACAGGAAGGGCAGGAGTATGGTGCCGGAAATTGGGTTGTTTTTGGGATTTTATCGGGGGGCATTTTTATCTGGCTCTGTAAGAAGGTAATAGATTGTCTTTATATTGCCAATTCACCTTTGTATAAAGTTTCCTGATACTTTTACATTTTTTGTCTCTGAGATTTTCTGCCAAGATATTTGTTCATATCTGCATGTCCAATGCAGCGCCCTTGACTCATAGTCTGTAAATAGAGTGACTTAAGACTTTACTCGAGGATGAATAGTATCAGACTCATGGCTAGGACAGTGTTTATGAAAAATTCATTTGGATGACTTTGGAATTGTCATCCTTATAAAAGGTGTTAGTTCATACTCGGTTAGAGAATATCTTGTGTTTGCTTGATACGGTGTATGACTGTATCTTGATTTCACCTATCTGTCTTTTTCGAGAAAAGCAAAACACATGTTAGTCTCAGTCACAATTTGCACTCTGCTTTGATGGTTTCAGTTTTTGGAACAATATGGAGAAGTCAGTATGTTAGACATAAAGGGCGCGGATGCTACTAAAGTAGTTCTTGTTGTTGGGATTATGACTCTTCATTCATTCGGGGAAGGCTCTGGAGTTGGAGTTTCGTTTGCTGGTTCTAAAGGATTTTCCCAAGGTCTACTAGTGACTTTGGCCATAGCAGTTCATAACATACCGGAGGGATTAGCTGTCAGCATGGTACTGGCATCAAGGGGCGTTTCTCCACAAAATGCTATGTTATGGAGTGTAATTACATCCCTACCTCAGGTATGGAGTGAAATGTTGTAGGCTTTTCTTCTTGGCAAACCTTTTCTTTCTTGTTACCTTTAAAGTATATGTCATTGTGGGAAAGTGGAAGCCTTTTCCTAAGCCAGATTTTTCTGACTGATTTAAAACTACATTATAAGCAGACATATGCTTCTTAATAGTTAAGCATGAATATTACCTATTACAATTCTTTGTCAGATTGTCGTTTTTTTTTTTTTGTGGTGTTTCTGTCTAATTTATTCAGTTTAATTGCAGCTGCAACTTTATTATTGGGCTATCAAATGCCATCGAGTTGGATTTCTTGCTTGTAATGGTTGTTTGCACTACTCGTTTAGTTGTTTTAATCCAGAGAAAAGAAATAAGCATGGAAGTTTCATTACGAAGGATGAGGAGAACATGCAAACTGTATATCATGTTCTCTAGAGTATGGAATATTTGATGCAGACTCAGCGCGTCAATTCCTTGGACCAAATCAAGTACATTATGTTATCTTCTTGATTTTATTTTATTCCTGTTGTTGAAAACTTTAAAACTGAAAAAATGGAGAAGCCCAAGGTTACAGTGTCTCTTGTGAAATTTATTAAAATATTGGAATGGCCAGACCAGACCTTAGTCAGTTTATATCGGGGGCTCACTACTCAGTTTGCTTGAATATTGACTGTTTGATACCAGTGAATACCTGCATCCTGCTCATCTCCTTATTTGGCTGTCAGTAACTGGCTTTATTATTTGTTTTTGCAGCCAATTGTAGCAGTCCCTTCTTTCATCTGTGCTGATGCATTTAGCAAGTTTCTGCCCTTCTGTACGGGCTTTGCTGCAGGATGTATGATTTGGATGGTTGTTGCAGAAGTCCTTCCTGATGCGTTCAAGGTACTTATCTACCCACCCTTAGTTATTTGCTAAACATATATTGGATTAGTTCTGTGAACCTTTAACTCAGTACCTCGTGTCTGAAAATGGGCTGGCTAACCAACAGGCACTGAGATTTGTTTTAGGGTATCTAGAGATTTAAGGTTCATTGGGCTTTTCACTCGTAGGAAGCTTCTCCATCTGAGGTTGCATCAGCAGCTACGCTTTCTGTGGCATTCATGGAAGCTCTCAGCACCCTTTTCCAGAACTTCAGCCATGACTACAGGTGGGTCTCTCTGTTTAAAAACTTGATCCTAAACATGAACACAGAGAAATGTCTTTCTTATTGTTTTTATAGAAAATAAAAATACTACTGAAGGGCACCAAAGGGCGTACAAACCCATATCCACAGAGCCCATGTACAAAACAAATCATCTACGATATGGATTAAAGGATTAACATCCACGCATTACTGTCCATTTTACCAGAAGTGTAAGATTTTCAATCTGCTTTCAATAATTACAAAAAAAAAGGGCGTTTCTTCTCCAATGAAAGCTCTTTTTAAATCAATAATAAAACAGCAAGAGGGATCGAAGAAATCGTTTTCAATGCAAAAGGCGACCTTGCCATGCCCGTAATTCTTGTTCGATAGATCCTTTTATAACACAAGATAGCCCATTGCGCCCATAAGTTTGCATCATCCCTGCCTCTCTCTTGCATAAAAAAGCGCCTATTAATCAGCACAATCCCTCTTTTGTTTCAAATTGTCTAGTGTGAGATTACGTTCCCAAGATGCTTCGCATACAAAAAATGAAACTGATATCGGTACTCTCCCTTTCCAAATAGCAAGGAAAAACTGCCTTGCCACTGAAAATCTTCTTTTCGAGTAAACTGTAATAAGACTTTACAGAAAGGGTCCATCTCTACCGCTACTCCAAGACAAAGTATCCACACTAGTGAGGGAAATCTTAGAGTTATACGGCAATCATGAAAGCTGCCAAAAGATTCAAGTTCCCAATCTTGGGCTTGTCTTGTAGAGTCAATCTCCTAAGTAACAATCTGACATAAGAGCCTCTTTGTTCCTAGTGATGTCAAAGAGGTAAGGGACACGATCTTTGAAAGAAATACTCCCACTCCAAGTGTCAAGCCAAAATTGTATCTGCTTACCATTTCCCACAATAGGATTCATATGAGTAACAAATTCACTCCACTCATGAGCTATTCTTCCACTTTTGGGAATCCAACCGGTTCTTTTACGGCCAAATTTAGCAACAACGTTCCTCCAAAACAATCATTTTCAACATTGAACGTCCATAATTATTTGCCTAGAAGAGCCTTGTTAAGCAATGAAAGAGACTTTGATGCCAAGACCATTGTCAGAAAAAGGTTGATTAGCTGCTGTCCAATTAACCAATGAAATTTATGTGACTCGTTGTAATCTTCCCACAAAAAACTTTTTCCAAATAGCCTCCAGCCATTTGGCACCGAACAAGGAATAGGAAATAGAGACATGAAATAGATAGGAAGATGACAGAGAGTGTTTTTTTGACAAGGATCTTTCCCAACCCGGCACATAATAGGCTCCCAAATTCGCATATCGTAGCACCCAAAGGAAGGCCTAAATAGGTTAAGGGTAAAGAACCTATCCGTACTTGAATTACTTGGAATTTCTTCTTTGATGAGCAAACTGCTTGGATTTTCTTTCATTGATCGTGAATTTATGATTTTCACATTTTCTTTTCCATAGCATCCTCTGTTGGTCATGCATAGGCATCATCAATTTAGCAGCCATCAAGCTGCGAGCATGCATCTTGTTATTGTTCCAGTTTGTTTCCATTGCTCGTGCTGAGTTTGGATCAAGAGTTAGCTGGCCTGCCAATTGTCCTCCTTTGACATACTTTCATCAGTCACTTTCATTTTTCTCATCCTTTGTTCACCCAGTCCCTAATATGGTTTTCGTCATCGCAGCCAAATTATTTGAAATCAGTCGTCTTCTCTGTTTAATAATTAGTCTTTCTGCTTTAGTATGGTTTGGACCAGCACTCGGGCTTTATTAACTGACAGAATAAGGGTTGGGATGATATTTTCTCTGTGTTAACCACGTTAATCTTTTTGAGCTGCACTAGATATACCAATTAGTCATGATTTTCTTTTCCTCTCTTTCCAACTTCTCATCATGTATGCTATATGAAACTAACTGTGGGATATCATTCAGCTCGGAGGATGCTTCTGGCTTCTTCGTCTCTTTACTATTTGGTCTTGGGCCACTGCTGGGTGGCATGGTTCTTGTAGCATTTGCCCTTGCCTTCCGTCTGCAGCATGCCCTCCTCATGGGTGCCGCCTCTGGAATTGCGTTTGTCCTCGGTGCTTGGCGTCCATTGCAACTACTGCTCTCCTCGAAGATGGGATTCTTTCCTCTGATTTCGCTTATCGCTGCTGGATCAGCATTCGTCCATGCCGTATCATCTAGCATCTTGAATATTGCAGGACGCAAGAAAACTTCAGTGAACAGTTTGCCATCAGTTACTGGCTTTCCATTGAGCATATTCACCCTCCAGTCATTTTTAGCATGTGGAGCAGTTGCTTTGCATGCTTTAGCTGAGGGGCTTGCCCTAGGAGTTGCAGCACCTAAAGCGTACGGGCTGGGCCGGCATATGGTCCTTCCAGTCTCTCTGCACGGGCTTCCAAGGGGTGCGGCTGTCGCTTGCTGTATCTTTGGAGCTACTGACAGTTGGCACGGGTCCCTCGCAGCTGCTGCACTTATCGGGTTTATGGGTCCGACTTCTGCTATTGGGGCCATCCTCGCAGGAATTGATTACAGTGGTCTTGACCACGTGATGGTATTTGCTTGCGGGGGATTACTCCCAAGCTTTGCTCGTATAGTAAAAAGAGCAACGAGATTGGATGCAAGCAAAAGCAGTTGTGGTTTGTTAATGGGAGTTGGTTTTGCCACCATTTGCTTAACATGCACCAAGTTGGTGTGCTTGCACACACCTTACTGCAATTCGGCCCCGGAGGCTGTCAGATAATTTGGCAATGCTCCATATCTTGCTGCAAACTTGTTAGGAGCGAACAGAAATCAATACTTTTGGCTCATCTGTTTGGCGACTCTACTGGATTTAACTCAAAGAAGAAGCTAACGTCGTCAAGAAGTGCTTGGAGGACACGGTACATGTAAAGATTTAATGCATATCAGTTATTGAACTCAGATTTTTCACCTGATGTAGATTATGCAAAGGATGTACCGATCCGAGGAGGGGGCTGTTGCCTCTTGTATTAGAGAAAGCAATTCTAATTCATAAAGTGCGTCCATGAATGGCCGGGCTATCGACTAGTTATTGGATTTTGAATGAGCAGGATGATGGGTTACAGATATTTTATCGTAGAACAATCAGAATTTTTAGTCTAGTCATCGCTTTGTCCTCCGAAATGTAAGAACTGATGTCTCGATGGTTGGTTTTCCCACTTGCTGTTTCTACCTGCTAGGCTGCTAAAAACTTCTTTGGTGGCATGTGCGGAGAATTGGCATCTCTGACCAAGTCCTTACAGCCACCCGTAGCAGCAGCCATCATCCTTGAATACACTTGAGACCTAAACTGAGATTTAAAAATACAATTTAAATTTAGATGCCAATCTCCAATTCTAAATGAAGCCCTCTCGTGGCAAGGAGACTAGTCATTTTAGAGATTTTTCCGCCACTCTCCCTCACAGACACATACAAACGTGTTCCGGTGAGGGAGGGATTCTCGCATGATTAGTTTCAGAAGAGGACATAAAACAGAGGCTCCACCATAGAAGAGGACTCAAAGCCCAAGTCTTCAAGAGCAGACAAAGATGCCGGCATCGGTAACATCACAACTACCCGCGCAAAAGAGCAAGAAAAATTGAACAAAACATATTGAGATAATATACCAACATTACATCAGCAAAATAGAAACGTGTTTGTCCGAGAACTGGCCTTTGTTGGTTGGTCAGACTCATGCTAGTAAACAGTAAGTTCACAGCCCAATTTTTTTTGTTTTTTTCAAGATTTCTCCATTAAAGCCAAAAAGATGATTTCGTAGGAACAAATACATGGCACATCAGGTCCAAGCCATAATCAAGACCACCCAGTAACACCCACCTCTTCAAACTTTATTGCAGCCTTTGATCAAAGCTATGAACAGATAAGGCCTATGGTTATAGAGAACTTTGAAAGAGCAACACGGATATAATTAAGCCTACATCACTTGCAACTGTTCTCATTGCCCGGGACATCCTCAGCTTCCCCAACAACCAACTTCCCCTTCTCTGAAACCAACCCGTCTTCGACTTTGTCAGGCTTCCCTTCCCCGATACTCTGTGATCCTGTCAACCTAGCTAATATAACAAACGTCATCCCACCAAGCACATTGTTCGCGCACCTCAGAGCCACTACAGATGTCTTGAAGCCCAGTGGGGGAAGCCACTTCTCCAGCAAGAACTCAATGCCATTCAGAGTTTGGTATCTGAAATTGCTGCTCAAACCCATGTGAATTGCCCATGTGGCTGCATTCAGGACGGTCGGGGGAGGCTTATTTGGTGTCTCAAAATTAGGATCCATCTTCTTCCTCATCTTGATCAAGCCATTCGAGATAGCTGTCCCTACAAGGCCAGCAGCAAACCCGACCGCAGCAAAAACCGTCCCTTTGTACACAAAAGTCCCAAATCTTTCAACTATGCCAAAAGCGCCGGGTTCAAACATGTGACTCTTCGGGCAACTAGCAAAAATGGCAGGGAGACTGGAGGATGCCGCAGATGCAGTGGGCGCTAAGAGGTACATAAGAGTGAAATTCAGTATGCATCCAACAATGAGAGTCGAGAACACGAAATCGAGCTCATTTAGCCCGAAATTGGGGCGAGAAGCCATATCTCCAAGAACACATGCACTGACCCCCACTAATTCCTCCATCAAGACCTTGAATGGAAATTGGGGATCTGCAGCAACTCTGGATCTCCACCCATTGAGGAAAAGGCCCAAAATTCCCAGACCTGCGAATGGGGACGAGGACTCATCAGAACTGCCATCCCCACTCCACCCGCCACTGTCGTCGTCGTCGCCGCCGCCGCCGCCGCTGCTCCCATGGCCAACCCCACTGTTGCCACCTCCGCCACCACATGAAAAATCAAACTTCGCATGCAATTTGGCCTGGACAGGCTTTATCTCTGGAAGGAGACAGGACAGGTTTTGAGGATTGAGAGAGGATGAGGAAGGTGAGAAGGCAACCGCAGACGGGTTACTGCTGATACGATGGCGGTTATCGGCGAAGCTACGGTGCCCGGCAAGTGGGTTGTGACTCGGGTTGTAACGCAGTCGAGACAGGGTAGCCATGTTTCAGTCTTTGATCTCTACAACACAGTAGCTCGCTCACCAACCTCACCTACCACCCACGTCTGCATATTCAATCCAAAGATGAAACCAACAAGAACAAGACACACACACACACACACAGCTATCAAGCAAGGCAATCAACAAACAACAACAGCAAAACTTCCACAAATCCAGATCACGCGAAAGACCCAAAAATGAATCGTCCTGGACAGATTGCCAATCCCAACAGACAAACCAAAGCCAAGTACCAAACGGCCCCGGGTCAGAAAAAGGAAGCAACTTTACACGCCGCAAGCAGCTCCAGATTTGATGCATTCGGCGGAAAAAGCGAGTACCTGAAGTGGGTATGCAAGAACGAGAAGCGGGGAGGCGGCTGCTGCTGCTGCCAAGGACCGGATCAGCGCGACCGGCGAGAGCTGCTGCAGTGTCGACGGATTAACGTGTCCCCGGGGATTGAATGGGGGGCGTGGTCAATCCGGGTCTCGTCGGCGGCGGATCAAGAGGATCTCGACATGGGGCGCGCGCGCGCGCGTGCGTGCGGGGGAGAAGCGAAAATGTGCAGAGAAAAAGCGAGCGCACAGGGAGGAAGAGAGAGAGAGAGAGAGAGAGAGAGAGAGAGAGATGTAGGGCGGTGTCGCAGGACAGGGACGAGGATGACATAAGCTTCCGCATATATACCCCCTCGCCTCGAGAGACCTCGCGCATGACCGCGCTCGAGTAGACAAAACCCTAAACGGCATTGGCACAAAAAGAGAAGAAGTGTTATTTGTCCTTGTATTTACAGAAAACAAAACATTGAAAGAAAATTCAACATCATTAAAAATCCCGAATTAGTACCGATACAGGACATTTACCTCGAGCTAATTTTTCTTTAATAAAGAATTTCAGGTTGATACCCCTGATATATCTAATATTAATTAATTTTCTCTTACAAAGAATCCCGAACCGATACTCCTCACCCATATTTTATTCTTCACGATCTAACGTGGAGGGTAAATTTCGATTGGAGGTACCTAACGAAAGTTTTAGTTTGGAGTCGATGTATTATGAGGTGCCGATTTGGAATTTCTTCCGAGACGGAAATTAGCTTGAGAAAACAATAACAGGAAGCTCGTGCTTCTGCAAGATCAAACTGTCCTTAGAAAGAAATGAAAAAAATAGTCAGGTGCTCACAAAACTAATTTTTTTTCCTTAAAATGAGGGAGTTATTTTTTATAGGAACGCTAAATTTTTTTTTTCTTAACCCAACATAAGAAAAAAAAGAAAAAGATCTCCAATTAGGTGGGGAAAATAAAAGTGACAAGAGTAAAAAAAAAAAGAGAAAAAGAAAAGGACGGAGGCGACCGTATATATAAATTGGGGCTGGAATTCACCAAATTGACTTTCGCAGTGCGAAAAATCATCCCTTTCGTCAATCCAAGCTTGCGGTGGTGGTGCAGAAATGGCGTCGTGGGTGTGGATGGAGGCGGCTCTTCCGCTCGGGATCATCGCCGGGATGCTCTGCGTCATGGGCAACGCTCAGTACTTCATCCACAAGGCCGCTCACGGCCGCGTAAGTTTGTCACCCCCTTCCTCCCTCTCTCAGATCGCCTCCCGATCGCCTCCGTTCTCCGCCGTCGATTCTGAAGCTTTTTTTTCTTTGTTTTTTTTTTTGTTGGTTGGTTGAACAGCCGAAGCACATCGGCAACGACGTGTGGGACGTGGCCATGGAGAGGCGGGACAAGAAGCTCGTGGAGAACCACTCCTCCGCTCCTTCCAGCTGATTCCCGTCGGTTCCGCCCCATCTCACTTCTCTCGGTATATGCCCCATTCGATTTCTCCGTGGATTCTAATATGATTCTGAGCTGCTCGTGGAGCTTGGGTCGCATTGTCTGCGCTGGCTGGCTGGCAGGCGAGGGTTTGGTTTTTAGGGTATTGGGTGGACTGCTTGGCTCAATTCGCTTCTTTTCTCTTCTCTTGTGGGGTGCTGTCACGGCGCCAGTTACTCTGCGGCATTTGCGACCCAATAGAATAACATTGCGGAATGATATTTTTAAGCTGAAAGCTGTGAGTGACCCGGGCAGAGCTGAGATGTCGACATTCTGCGCTTCTGCAAGTTGGGTCGATAATCTTGACTAGAATGTTTTCGTGGTTGATAGGTTAATGTTCATCGCTTGGATTGCTTTGATTGATGATGGTTCAGGGTGCAGAAAACCATGAGCTATATGCATTTAATGGACTGCAGGTGGTAAACTTAGTCTCAACAGAATCATAAAGGGTTGTAGCAGTGCAATAGGATTTTTTTCCTTCTTTACAGTTAACAGGTCGGTAGGAAAAAATACTGCAACCTGCTATATTGAACAGAAGGTGTTTACTTCTTGAAAAATGGACTGGGACGTCCATCTTATTTATTTGTGTGCAAGGGAATCTAAAGGGCAGGAAAACTCGAGAGTCAGAAAGGTTGTGATTTGGTTTGCCATTTGGATTCTGGGTTGCATATTCGATATCCACGGTTCTCTTTCCCATTGTTTCATGTCCATTGACTAAAAAAGAGCTGAGTCTCTAGGGATGAAAGATGCGGGAATGTCATTCCTAGAGTTGGCTAGAAACCTTTGAGCACCACTTGTTAGAATTCAAGCCATTACCTCCATGTTGTAGTGCTGATAATATGAAACTTTGTTGGGCAGAATCTCCTTGTTCCTTACTGAATGCCACGGCCATGATCATCTAGATGCCATCATAACCCCCTAATCCCACTTCATTCTAGAATTTTCATGGATTATGGCGCCACATTGTCTCCTAAACAAAGCAGACTTCATCTTGAACTACTACATCTACACGCGTGATTTTGCTTCACCTAGCTAATCTAGCCAGGGCTAAGGTCGTGTTGAATTGAATTCATAGTTTCCCATGACTCCGGTTTGGTTTAATTTCGTTGGTCATAGCGTGCCATCATATTCAATCAAGTAGAAGTCAAAATTTAAGAAGATGGTAGCGAGAGTAGATAGTTGAAAGATCTATCTTCAAGGTCGATTGTGGCTTTCCGTATGAAAAACAGAGGCTAGCTTGGTGAAGTTGAGATAATTTTGGACAATGGTTTTCAGTAGAACTTCACTTGTTGAAAGTCTTGTTTTGGTGAGAAAAATTTCTTCTGTCTTCGTTTCTTGGATTTTTAAGTTGGAAGTGGCAGCATGCTACTTCATTATATTTCTATGGGAACATGGTGGAAGTTCTTGCCTTTTACAATGGTCAATTTGTTAATCGGTTCCTATTGCCTTTAAAACCATTTAGCTGCAACTAGAGTAGTACGACTTCAAATATTTGTCAGAGTGATAGAGTTTTGCACGGAGGTGGCTAACCATGCAAACTCTCAGGAACTTGTCTGTCATAGTAGTGTTGTTTCCCTCAAACAGATTGTCTTGTTCTTTCCTTTCTTTAAACTGATAGATTGTTATGGGTATACTGTATAATTAGAAACCGTGCTCTGGAACTTGTTATGACCACTATCTTGGGTATAGCATTTCAAGTAGTTTTTAGATCTGACTGTTTATTGAATTTCTAGTGCTGCGCGCTGCAGCGGGGGGATTTTTTTTGGGGCCTGAACAGTGAGGGCTTTATTGAGATGATTGAGTAATATATGCCCTTTCAATCGCATGAATATTCTTTCAAATTTTCTTGTTTTGGTGTATTGTTGGCGAAAGAAGACAGGAAAAGAGAATAAGCTGAGGATGCGGCATCATCCTTCTGCTTATTGTTTCATATAATTGCATTTGGATAGAAATGTGATTGACCATGTTATTATTTCACTATTAGTGAACGAGACAATTATCGTTTGCATTACTGTTTCCTTTCTGTACCATCTGCCTTGATTTTCTGTTGAAAGAGCTTCAAAAGGATGGTCTTTCAGCTAGCCCTTATTGATTACTTATGTGAGCAAGGGTTAATTGCATGCGCATGCTGAATGAGGCTCAAGGTGTGGTATCATATCACATCCATAGAGACATGGCAAATACTTTTGGCATTTTTTCTTCTGCACTTCCCTCATTACATCTAAATGCAGCTTGATATCAAAACTGAATTAAATTGCATTATGCAGGAATGTCGAACAAGTCAGTGAAGTAATAAAATGCTGATCCGTGTTCCATCCATGGCAAGGAGTCTGAAAGCAATATCTAATGAGGTCATTTTCTTTTTTTTCGTTTTTGGATGTGCATTTTGATGACCTTACAGACCATTTGGGGGACATTTGAAGATACTGGACCTTAAATGTACTTTTTATGACTGTTAATGAATTTATTTGTGGAGGTTTGATGATCCTCATCTGGTTGATGTTTCACTGCTGTCATTGCTATAAGAAATTGCACATCTAAACTTGAGTTCTCAGAGTATAGTGTATGAACTGAGGTGTCGATTTATAGACTGAAAAAATCAGTTTGATTTAGACCTGGGGAGAGAAGTTGAGGAGTGGGTAGGGAAAATATGTAAGGGATGTGAGGATCTTTTAATCTTATGGTGTCAGCTGGTCATGTAAAGTTTCTTTTGAGTCATTGATTGCAAAACCTATCAAGAAGTTGGTCTGAATTCATGGCAAGTTCAAAGAAGACGCATCACCAGTTTCTTGTCTATTTCTTTTTAATGCTTTTACTGTGCTGTTGTCCTTGGGGTAGTTTTCATGGTATTGATGTGCTTGAACTTTTATAGAGATGCATAAAGTCTTGAGACAGTCGCTTGCCCATGCTTTTGTCTTATAGCCATACTATTTTGTTTTTTTGGGCCAGATTATCATAATGCTGTTGGATTAACTAGTAATCTTAGGTGCATACAGACCTGGAATTTGGAAGAAGACTAATATTAAGTTTCTAAGAAATCAATCACACGTTCCATTGTGTGTAAATGCCCATGTCCGAGGAAGAGACACCATGATTGGGTTGAAGAGATGTGTATTTAGCTAAGCTATTAATATGTGAATCAGGTCTAAGAATTGGGCATCGCCTTGTTTCAGATATGAAATGGCCTGGTTTATAATATTCTCAGGCATCCTTTCTTTCGGGCTGTTTCTTTTTAGAACGGGGCCTTTCCCCGACATAGTTGAGCAATCTGATGGGAACCATGTATGCATTTTGATGGGCCAGGGTCCACATAGACTGGGATCAATCACAGTCGGATCCTCCAGGGTTCTCATAGTCGTGGTACAAAAACCAACGGCTGTGATGGCGCGCGGTTCTTAGGTCCGCTATTTTCCCTTTTTGATGTCCTTGAATGTGAAAGCCATTAGCTTCCTCCAATGTCTAAACAGGTTCTTCTTTTCTGATCAAAAGGATGGGAAAGCCTCTTGTTCCTCTCTAATATATGGGCAGCATGTATTAATGCCTCATTAGTACCCTAATCTGACTCTCATAATAGTTGAATTACCACTTAGCCTGCACTTGGTAATCCGGATTTGAGTCCGGATAGTATAACAAAATATCGTATCGGATGTTTGGTGACGTCCTTGGAATCGGATAACCTCAGATATACCTGGATAAAATGCCGAATAAGAAATTTAGGTTACATGGCGGGATAAACCCGAATTGGATAAAAAAATTAATAATAACTTATCAATTTCCTTCCAATAATGGAGCGAAGGAGAGATACATCTAGCTTTGCCAACCAACGCGCAAGGACCACCTCCATGACAGCCGATCATCGTCACTTTCGACAACCCTGCAGTTGTCATTGCATCCGACCACCATCGTGCTCCAACGACTAGGAGTGAAAAGAAAAAGTTATACATCACATGGTCATCACCATTGAAGAACTCGAATCCTATCACGAGTGCAATAGATCCTTCGAGGTCGTTGTCCACAACAAAGTCATGTCTATCGTCGTTACTCGCTATTCAAGTGCCGTCCCCTAGTGCTCCGTCCACGTCCTCTCCACATCCATAAGTGGCACTTGAGCTTCGCATGCGACGTGCACCACCCTATCGCCACCCTTAAATCGGCCGTTGCTACCTTGTTTATCAAATCGCAGTGGCCGCTACCTCCCTCGATCGCTCTACGACACCCTCGGTGACCCAAGACTCGTTTTCGCTAGTGTCCGAATTGCCTCTGATATAGTGAAGCTGATGGAGGACTATAGTCTGGAAATGTAGATGTCAGTGGATCTGGCGAAATTGGCGTTGAAGGAGACAAATTGGAGGGAGTTGAAGAAAGGAGGTTTGAGACTGGTAAGGGAGCTCAAGTGGTGGGATCTGTACGTCGCGGGAGATTGCGTTGGATTAGGATTTTCAAAGAATTTTAATTTTATCTTGGAATGCGATAAATATGTGATGTGATTTTCTACAATCTGAAGATTATTCTGAAAATTTCTAATTTCACCTTATTATATTCTATCACAATTCAAATTCGGATGACTAAACGCAACCTTACTAACATAATTTTGGGGCTTTTAGCTTCCACTTGTTCCGACACTAGGCTTCTCATCATCGTCAAAAGATTGAAACGCCCAACCATAAAAGGGGCTTTGACTCCTTTTTCCTCCTCAGCTTTTTAGGTACAGCCCGTTTTCTTTCTGGGTGGAAACAATGTGGCAAATCATTGGATGAAGGGTTGTCAACACGTGTTCACGTACCAGGTACAATCGATTTTTGTAATCTTGTCATTGGAAAACACTATGCTTTTGTTAATTATGCTATAAAACCTATGCATATTAAGTTCGTGTCAACCTCAGATTTATCATATAATCATGTATAGATGCTTTTCATTCGTGAGCGAAAAAGATAATCGTAAAAGCCGGGATGTTCCGTACGAACTTTGCTTTTGAAATTTTGGCTTTTTCTATTAACTTTAGGTGAATGTCGAACGCCTCAAAACATACAAAGAACAGTATTTAAAGTCAAACCGAATTAAAGCAATAGCTCTCATGTTTTGGCCTTAGAACTCGAACCAAGAGCCAAAGTCACACCCGAAAAAGGCATTGAAACATAGGGTCCGAAGAACAATTTTAAAAGGTTGTACTTCGGTAGGGTAATAGATGGCGATTTTCTATTTGAGCTGAGCCAGAGCATCTGCACGGCCGGGGCGACTAGTACTGCACTTTAGCTGGTCAGACCTCGTTTTCCATTACCGTCCGTACTGAACATGGACAAATTAATAGAGTTCTTTCCTCTGTATAAGGACAATAATAGAACTCTAATACCAAAAGAGAGAGCGTGAAGCCACAGTGAAACATGTTTCGCAGAGGAAATCTGTTCCTATTTGTTCTCATGATGCGATGAACGAAGAAGAACAAGCGACAACGAGCATGTACAAAATGGAGGTGACCCGTCACGGAACGGATGTTCCCGTGATATACCCAAATTCACTTTAAATTTCATTTCCTCGTCCTGCTTTGCCTCGCTGTGCCACAGATCTAGCTATCTTGGCTCCATTTTTTTTTTTGGACTGTGCAAGTCCGCCCTTTGATCCGATTGCTTACCACGTTATTCCAAGATTAGTAAGGTACATATGTACTATCGGTTTCTCTTCCCTAACTCTTTTTGGGCTAAACAGAGAACTCTGTGAGAGAACCGTGATCGCGATTCACTCAGTTTGGGCTAATTCCAAACGACTTGAATCGTTCATCCGACTGTTTGTTTACTGATCTTTTTTTTCTTTTTGCCTCTCCATTTCATGACATTGAAGCTACCGGCTACTTTAAAAGAATTTGAGACAAACATAGGATCGAAGTTATCGATGGCATTGTTGAATCGAGCGGGGTAAACTTCTTTAAGTTGATCGAATTGTCGGATCAAGTTTGATTTCTCCATGTGAAATCTTCCCTCATGAAATGCTCGACATTATGCCCTCTGTTAGTATACTAATTTCTTTTGCATATAACAACCACGCGCTTGGTTTTTCGTTTTCCTCGTGTTTTTTTCAGGAATTATGGAAAAGTACCGGCATCCCATCGTACTCGAACAAAAGTACTTCGTCAAATCGTTTTTTAAGTATCTTTGAGCCATTTTATTATGTAATTGCCCATAATCTCAGATAAGTCAAAATATTAGTGAGTTCATTTTCCACCTGGAATGGTACCATCATCCACCAGTCAATCATAGCACAAAAAAGCCTCGACTCGACATTCTGATTCCGAGTTGTTAAAGGATGGAGACAGGAGAAAAAGCAGGCTAGTCCAACACAGAAAGGAGTGATGAGCAGCATGTTTTTGGACATAGTGGCCAAAGTCATATCTAATTAAGAGGATTCTCCATCACACCATTTTGCTTTGAATAATGTCTGAATAAAGGCCGAAAGTGAAAGCTACCCTAGCCGAAGCAAAAAGGAATTGACTTTCTGACTTCACACGTCCAATATGCTTTTCCATTTTCAAATGCCCACACAAACGAGTGGACTAATAGGGGTTCTTGAAGTTTACCCCAGTCCCTTTCATGGAGGTTAGGTTCGCTACCCGTGGCGACCTGACAGCTTGCTCTTGTGTAGAACCTGTGTACACATCTCTTCACACGAGACCGAAAAACTCAACCTCCTAAGGAGTAACAGTTCGCACAATCATGGGTCCGGGGTGAAACTTGAAAAAGAGATGAGAAGACACGACAATGCTAGATTGCAATGTTTCATAAGAGCACATTAAGACTTTGCCCCAGTTGAAGAGACGCTAAGCCGGTCTAGGCCATCGGAAAACAGTAGCAAACTAATCTGATGAATCATGTTGTTAATCAGAAGTGAGCAGTATGGGGCCGAACAGAAGAGTCGGATAAAGCGAAAATTTCCTTTTATTCCTTCTCAATTGGCAAGTAAATTCGACACAATTAGAATTTAACTGTTTTCACTAAATGCACACGACAACGAATCACAAAATTATGGATGCTCGCAAGTGAAAAAAACAGATTTACACAAAAATCCTAATTTGCCCACACTAGCAGCAAGGACTTACCATGAATGAAGAGATTAGATGGGAGACACCACCAAAAAGAAGGTGCGGTCAGGGAAAAAAAAGCTTTTTTCTGGGCAGAGGAAGTGAACTTGAATAAATGCGGCAGCTCCATGAACGTGGAAGCTTGCGAGAATATATGAAGTTAGGGCACATATTCACTCTCAAGAATGGGTTGAGTTCTGGTGACCATAGCTGCTGGTGCTTTCGTTTCACCAACCGAAGTCATATGCAGAGTTTCCCCGGCTTCCGCAGCCTTCTCCATCTGCTGCATATTTTTTCTTTGCTTGAACTTTTGTGTCCATAACACTAACAAACCCAGTAGCCCAATCAATGCTATTCCTCCCACAACAGACCCAACAATTATCCAGACTACGGTGTTGGACTTTCCATGACTTGCCTTTCCTGGACTTGGTCCTCCACCGCCAGATGTTGGAGGCGGAGAGATTGGCGCAGCAGGCGCAGGGGAAGGAGCAATAGATTCAACCACTATGGAAAAATGGCCCTGCTCCATTGTAGAGCATACATTGCTCAATGTCAGATTGCTGTAATTGATCGAACCATTTATATCAAATGAAACACACCTGGCAACAGACCCCAAAGGAGGAGACTTCACATCTGTGAAATGAATCAATATGGGGTCAGCAGATGCCCTGATATCCAACTCCGGCAAATTTGTAGCCGACAAGTTAAACGCGTCATAAGCAAGAAGACCCAGAACAGGCGATAAATACGTGTAACCAGGTAATGGATAAAACACCACAGACCAATTTCCCAGGTTCTGATACACAAGAACCAGCCTCTCGACATATGGAGTCTCAGTAACTCCAGTTGGAATTTCAAACTCCTTGTATGCCGCAACACCTCTGTTTCGCAAGCTGCCGCTCCGGAGCCTCATTGCAGATACCTTAATCCCCGTCAAGTTTGAGGGAACATCTCCGTCATAAGAAATGCCCGTCCTAGGGCGGTCGAAAGCCTCATAGGCATATTCCCGGAGAAGCGCGTCCAAAGCTCGCGCGGATCCAACAGTAGACTGGGCATTCGAACTCCCAACCTCGAATAAGCACAAAAGAAGGACATGCATCACGAGACCCCAGAGACGCCCCATCGATGCTCCGGGTGGGGCAAAAAATCGGCAGAATGCCACTCTCTATTCGAATCGACGATATCCCAGTTCAACAGCCGGGAACTCAACTCCCCAAATAAACCCCAACAAATAAACGAGCACTGCAAGAGCTGTGTAGTGAACCGTCTTACAGAAACTTCACCCACATTGCCTGGTTTCTGCCAAATCCCAGACCCCGAAAAGATTTCAACCAAATGACAAGCAGCACCAACGGGCACTGCAGAAGAAAAGGGGGGGGCGTGTGTTTCAGTGTAGAAGGAGGCGAGAGAGCAAAAGCTTTATTCAGCCGTTGCAACTCCTGATGGCAATGCCCAGATTTACTTTTCCCTTTTTCCGATCCTTGTGAAAGAGGCTACTACGCCCGGCCTCATGGACCAACAACTGCTGGACGAGAATCTCAAAAGCTTCGCCTTTTTCGCGAGGAAACGAGTCCATCACCACTTCGCCGGCATTTTCCTCCCTAATCAACGATTTCCGGCGTCCAAATGGATCACAGGGAGAGGAAACTGCCGTCTAATCACCTCCTCCCCCGCCTTTGAATGGTCAACCAGAAGTCGCTATCGCAAGTAAACAAGACAAAATTTATTTAGTCGCGCTAAACCCCATATGCATTCGGGGACCTCCCCGCTGAAAGTAACGCCCTTCCAACCAAATCGATCCAAAACCGAAAAAAAAAGAAAAGCGAAGAGATGTTGGCGATCGCAGCGAAGTTACCTGATCCAAAAAAACCTCTCGCTTCCAAACCCTAAAATCCGAGCCCGCAAAAACCCGCGAGCCTCCGCCCGAGGAACGCCGCTCAGCGCCGGCCGCCCGGGGACGAGCGCACCCTCGCGAAGCAGCCGGAATGCGGATCCCCCGAAGCTCCAGAAGCCGCAAAGGACCGGAGGATCTTGAGGTAAATCATCAACGCTCGACCGGAGACGGAGATCGACCGGACCGGACGGAGGCCGCGGGGGTGGCCCAAACCGACCGCATTACGACCGAATCTGGCCGGAGGGGGAGGAGCTCCGGCCGTGCTCGCAACGGACGGGCGGCGGCCCGACGCATTCGACGCCGCGCTGGTCGGCGGCGGCAGGCAATGGCGGAGGAGGAGGAGGAGGAGGAGCTGATCTCGGCGCGGTTGAGAGCTACGAGACAAGCGGATGCACACAGCTAAATGCTAGAGAGAGAGAGAGAGAGAGAGAGAGAGAGGAGGAGTAGTGCATTGATGGACTGTAACTTCTAGAGAGAGAAAGGGAGGGCGGTAGAGAGAGAAAGATGAGCTTCTTTTTTTTTCCCAGTGCCTCTGCTGCCAGTGGAGCGAGACTGGTCTGTAGAGAGAGAGAGAGAGAGAGGGAGGGAGGGAGGAGTGCGGGAAGCAGAAAATTTTGATATGAGCACACCATGCGTGGAAGCTAGAGTAGTTGTCTCGTTTTCTCTTTTCATTCGAATTGAATATTTCTTGATTTAATTTTATTCCCCTTAGTAGCTCTTCGATTACCTAGAGATTAAATTAATCGAGTCCCTAAAGAGGTCATTAAATGAGGCTAAGACCCGTCGCCCGAGTCGTGCTCCGAGAGGGCGCGACCCGGGAGGGGTTTAAGCCGCTCTTGAAGATGCGTTCACCCCGATGATCGTTCGATCGAGATGAGACTGAACGCCTTAGTTGCGATCGTCGATGGCCCTCGACCGTTTAAGGATAAAACAAAGAGAATGAGGAAAGAAAATTTCTCCACGTAAGATTAATGGAGTTTTTTCGCCCATTTAGGTCGATTTGAATATGGAGATCTCACGTCAAACTGTCGCAATTTTTGGTGGAGCCCACGGATATCTAATTTGCTTCGAGGTGAAGGGTGATGATGAACGTAAAGAATTGCAATCATCCTAAAGTAGCAACGAAAAAAAAATTGAGAAAAACATTATTCAATACTTCTATCGACGAGGAGTTTGAAGCTTTTTTAGAAGCAATAGAGCGTGATTCTCTTACTCCATGCTTATATGGTAATTATCGAAGGAGATACTGTACGTTTATAGCGTTATCTCTTTAAAATTTAAGTAAATATATATTATTCATCGTTATAATGTTTCGAATTCGCTAATGAAAGCTCAGACCTATAGATTTATTACAGCTATACTTCACGACGTAAGGGTCTAAGAGATAACTGGATTAGTGGCGTGATCCTAGATTATCCGTTTCTTCGGATAAATTAGAGAGATTCGGCTTTCGGAAAAGCCTAGCAAGGTCTATCCCTAATCTTTTACGGTGGGATTCATGGCCCCGTGTCCTCATGACATGACGCGACACACCGTTCGCCGATCTCCTCACGATGAGATTGCCACGTGGCAAGATCTCGCTCACTTACGATAGTAGTCGCATCCCCTAAAACACGCGCTCACTTGTTACTCATTTTGGGATCCAAAAATGGAACCCCGGTAGAATTCTCTCCAAAGGCGATCTCAACTCTTCTCATCGACCAAGCTTTTGCCCTACGACGCTTCTTACTTGCCACTCGACGCTCAAACCCGAACCAAATCCGATCTATCTTCGTCCTCAAAACAAAAAACTGGGTACATAATTATGCACCATCCAGAACATTAACGGCGGCGATCACAGAAGAAGAATCGGCATATTCTTTTGAAGATTGGAGAGGAGCTAGCGAAGTAGATTGATGGAGGGAGGAGACCATTCCAACCGATGGTTCGGCCATTCTTCTGCGGCACTACTCGTGGGAGTAGAGCTACCAAAACTTTGTGTATCCTAGTGTACAATGTTTATAAAATTCCAAGAGCGATTTGACAGCATATGTATGCTCTTTTTGATTAATTAATTAACTAAATTAATTAATACATTAATAATCTCAGGAAGGGCAGTTGAGGGTATCTTTTAATTGTCGAGTAATCAGAGAGCATCAATATTTTATTCGAGCACGAGCTTCGAAAACAGAGGAAAAGGCTGTGGCTAAACCATAGGGGCTAGCCTAAATTTATTCACCTAAGGAATTCAGTGATTTCAATCATCAACGCGTTTATAATATAGGGTAATAGTACAAAAACTTTAAATTAATATACCTATAATAAATTTATATCATATTAATTTTTTATCATAAAAAATTCTAAACTGGTACATTTGTGATAATTTTACTTTCTGTTAATTTTCATTAACCGTCAAATTTTTTAGTTGAAAGACACGTAGAGATGAGTGTACTAATTTGAGATTTTACCCTCAGTTTGTCACAGATGTATCAGTTTGTAGTAGTAATCCAATTTAATAAAAGGTAAATTTGACATAAATATATTAGTTTGGAATTTTTTGTGGTCAAAAAATTAATTTTGAGTAAATATGTCATGGATATATCAGTTTGGAGTTTTTCGTAATATTAACCATTTATAAAAGGGAGGGAAGATGCATATGCAAGCTGCCACGGTTCCTTGGTGTTTTCGGTAAGGTTTACCTCACCACAGTAGGATGTTGCCACCTTCCAAGACTACAACGCTTCGTTTTATGACACGGCGGCCGATCGACCTCGAAACCCCTTGTCGCTAGGGAAATATTTTTCCTTCTAGGGCGGCCCCCATGGAATCGTAAGGTGGATACCTCAGAGGTTCTAAACGGAAACCCGAGGCGGGGAAAAATGTGGACATAATGGGTTATAAATCAACACACACACTCTCTCTCTCTTGAATTAACCATTACTAGAACGTAGAGCTAGGGCCAACAACGATCACGAATTTGAATAAACATAGTTGGTTATTAAAGTCTAGATTAACAAGCGCCGCACGTACGTACCGATGCACTTTCCAGACACGTGTCGCGCCGCCTCCGAAGCAATTATAGAATCATTTCTGTAGATCAACCCACCGGTGAAAACAGGAATTCAAGACCCGTCTGGCTAAAGAGCAGAAGTTCCCGATTCGCAAGTAACACGTCCTGAGATCTACATGAAAAATCACGTCTCTCAATAGGAGCCGATGTGAATTTTCGTTATGATTTTGGTGGGGAAATTATCCGAAAATTATCCAAAAAGTCTCAATCCTATTATACGGCGACCAATTTAATCACAAACCTTTAATAATGATTTTAGGACTAAAACGATAAATCTTCAAAAAGATTTAGGATTAAATCGGACTGAATTGACTATCGTATGATAGATTTAGGACTTTTTAGACAATCATCCCGATTTTAATTAAATTTGTTAGTGTAGATGGTGACCGTAGAAAGACGGCAGCAATTTAGCGACACGTGGTTGACTCGATCTGCTAAACATTCCGGCAAGGGGGAGGAGGAGAGCACGGAGGATTTACTTTTTATTTATTTATTTATATTACTTTATGGGGGAGTGTAATAATAGGGGCAGTTTCGGGATTTCGGCCGTGCCAGCTCGCAGGGCATTTGACTCGCTTTTGTGATTGGGGGGGGGGGGAGCGGCTTCTTGCTTTGGTTTCCGCCAGTGGTCCCGCACGTGCCCCGTGCACGTGACTTCGCCAAACCCCAATAGCGACAGCTGTAGCCCCCTCAGTTTTTTTATTTATTTTTTAACGGTTCTGCTCCTTTCATCTGCAGCGTTAGTTAGTTCGTGGGCAAGTCAATTAAGTAAATTTAATGCATGCATCGAATTTAAAAAAATTTGCGAGTTTTGTTAACATGCGCCTTCAATGTAGACCTTTCGATCATTAATCAATTTCTTAATCCACGTATTAATAAACGAGTCATAAACGAGTTAATTATATTCACTAAATGGGTCATAAATAGGTATAAACATAACATGAGTGTTAAATAGATCGTAAACGGGTCATAAATAAGTTTACAACTTATTTAAACTCAATTCATCTCTCTCGTCCTCGCTCAATCTTGCGCTCACTCACTTTGCACGAGTTTTCCTAGATTGAATTAAATATGGAAGTATTTTACGGATTGGGTTGGGTTGGGTATGGATCATTAAATTTACATTACATGGAAATGGGTTAAAACGGGTTAAATGGATCTATTTGGGTCAGACTATTTTCGACCCAATTTGACAGGTTTACTTCAAAGTACTGATTAACTATAACAAACAAAAAAGAATAATTCGTTTTCAATTTAATAACTGCGTATAACACGAAGAAAGTATTCGTCTGGAAATGACAAAGTTTCATTATTTGAATGCCCAACGAGTGTCCCGAGCTATCCGTTAACAAAATCCCCTTTTGATTACGGTCGGGTGGTATTCTAAATTGCGATTTTGTTGACAAGCGCTCCGGGGACGGTTATTAAATAACTACTTGGAGGAAATTTTTACCGTTTTCAATACGCTAATCATCCATGTGCTATACAGTGATCACCCCTTTAAAGTATAGCATCAAATTAAATATACTCGACGGGTATCTCAGAAGTCAGAAGAACCCATTCATGGCTGCCCTCGTGGCCAGGTCCACGCATTTGATTTTCCGAGGGATGTCTAAACAGGACAGCCGTATTGTGCACCCGGTCACAAGACAAGATTGGCGCGAGCATCCGGATCTGCTGTCCCACATTGTATGGACATCCGGGGAAGAGAATCGACTAAAAGAAAGGATCCTAAATAAAAAACATAGGTACGATAAGATCGGTCCATAAAATAGACTCCGTGAGCAAATCTTCGACTTAGTTTGACGCGTGCGATGTCGTGTTTTGCGCGGTGCTCACACGAAGCAGTCTCGAGGGGGCCACGATCTTCAAGCTAGTGCTAGAGTCTCGTTCGATACGCGCAATGTCATGTCTGCGCCGTGTCCTAGAAACCGATCGGGCGGGCGGGCGAGTTCGAATGCAACATGTTAAAAAAAGAGAGCACGGATGAAGTGGGAAAGGGGGACCACCTTTTCTTTTGCTTTGTGAAGATTGCGGTTGTTGGGAAAGGAAAGATTTTGAGCACCCAAGTGAATAGTGGGGGTGTGTGTGTGTGTATGCATGCGTCTAGGTGGGGGCTCGTGATGCACCGCCCTCGTCTGGCTTACCTAAGAAGGAAGGATCGAATTGGCTAATTGTTGGGTGCGAAAATGGAGAAGAGAGAGAGGTCGCTTTGTTCTTTCTCGATTTTTAAATTCGTACACGCCCGCCCGGGCCGCCCCACACCCGACTCATAGTCTATCGTAATCTAGCCTTTCGAGTGTTCTCTCCCACTGCCTGTTTTAAGTTACCCGTGACCCGGAGATTGTCATACCCCTCTCGGATATCTCTAAACTATTCTCTCTCGTTCCCTTTCTGCGGAAAAAAATAACAAGATTTTAAGTGTATGTAGTGAACTATCATGCTAGTCTCTCGCATAGATTGACATTTTAATTTTTGGAACGTCGAGTGTTCTTACGAAGAAGAGTCTCTCTTCAGTCAAGTCGGTCACCACCGTGTTGAGATGCGCTATCATTTCGGAAGAAACACAAGAGTTTCGATGGACTAACGCGGGAACCTCAACGGGGGAGATGTAGAAAATTCCACTCGAAATTTCTATATACGCAGCATACATTTGATAGGAAATCGCGCCAAACATCAAAAAATAGTCGGGAATGATCACCCTTACTATTCCCTCCCCCGTTTCGAACCCGACTAATCCCTGCGCGAACGCGCGCGAACTCATTCCATCCACGTGCATCCCGGTTAGGCTCGTCTTGTAGGGACGGGAGAATTGGTCTGATTTGAACATCAACACCGCTCCATACAAATGCCTCGGCCGTTGCTTTGCGTTGCGTACTACTACTACTTCTGACAATTATTCTCCCCGTGTCGATGCTTTAACAGCGTACGATAACTGATTATCGCTTAAAACGACGAAGACAGGACAAAGCTGTCGGGGGAGAGAGAGAAAAGAGGGCCTTTTTGCACCTACCCGCCTGCCCACCACGCCCCCAATTTGCTTTACAGCCTTTCGTGCTCGGCCCTCATGATGATGGATGCATTCCTAAGGTAGTTTTCCACGAATCAATCATATGTTTTTTTACAGCCCACGTCGCCTCCCAGTTGCTGCCCTAACCCAATGATTACCGGCGGAACCCGGGGAAATCGCCGCCGCGATGCACGGGGCGTTTCTGGCCCGGGATCTCGGCGAGAGCGGCTCGTGGGATTTCGCCGCGGTCCCGTGTTATCCGACACCGACATTCGTTATCGAGAGAACTCAGAGAGCTCCCGATCGTTCAAGATATGAAACGGCACGGATCTTGATTACGTTGGTCTCGAAATATCGAATTTTCTTGCTTGGTCGGAATCAATAGGACGACATCGTGTGCTCCCGCGAGAACGATCGCTAGGGAAAGGAAAAAAAACGTTTCTCATAAGATAGCAATGTCAACTACCGTGGATCGATATCGTTTGCGCGATCGGCGTATTTTTCTTTCTACGCATCCGGCACCTCTCAACTTCGAGACGAACGGTTCGTTGCTCGTTAAAAATAAAAAATAATTCGCGTCATACCGTGTTGGATGCGAGATGTGTTAAAAGAACGGGCTAACACAAGAATTGGGCTTTGTTAACTTGGACTGGGCCCATTGGGCTTTTCAAGTCACTGGTGTTTCTCATTCCGAGCGAGCCTCGGCGAAGGGAATGCCCATGAACGGCCCACATCCGTCATGGGCTTTATGATAGCCCATCTTCGTCGGCCCACAAATAAACAATGCAAGGCAACAATCTTTGCACTTTCGTACCTTTTCCAATCAAGTCCCCGCACTATTTAATTTTTCCTAATCAAGTCATTCTAACTTCACAAATTATCTAATCAAGTCCCTCATGCACCGAATTGAGCCGACGGATCGTCGGCCAGCATCGGAGTGCGACGCTAATAACGTTTTTCGAGCTCAAAAAATCTTTCTCGAGACTAAAATGGGCCGATGCCAGCTCACCGATCTGCTCCCCCCTTTCCCCAATTTTCATTTTCTCGAAATCCAATCCGAACGGGACGGAGCTCGTGTTGCCTCGTGCTTAGGAAGCCTGCTCAATCGTTTCGCGAGGGGCGATTTACCATTTCTATTATGGAGTATTAATATCGAATGAACAACAGTCAAAAGCAATACGAAACAAGTTTTATGGACGCCGTTAGAGCCATAACTTACATACTAGAAAATAGGGATGAACGGTTCCCGGTCCGGTCCAGTCCAATCCAAGAACCGAGAACCGAACCGGACCGGCTAGTTTTGGGGCCGTGAACCGGTTTCAATAGGATCAATCACTTATTGGTAAAGGTAAGAGGGAATTAGGAAAATTAAATTAGACTTTTTATTTTTTTCAAATTTTTTTAAAAGTAAATAAATATATATAAAAAATTTAGAAAAATATATATATTTATATATATATTTATATATATATAGATCCGGTTAGGTTCGGTTCGGTTCGGTTCCCAATCTAAAACCGGGAACCGGACCGCCAAGAAATCGGTTTCACTTTTATGAATCGAAAACCAGACCGATATTCCTGAGAACTGGACCCAACTGGTCGGTTCGGTCTGGTCCGGTTTCGATTTGGACGGTCTATCTTGCTCACCCTTGCTAGTAGAAAAGCAAAAAAAGAAAGGGGAGGAAGAAAGAAAGGCGAATTGTGCATACGGGGTATGTGCGACGCGGTTTGGAACAAGCAAAGAAGAAGAGGGGGCGATTGGTGACCCCAGCAACGTTGGACGGGCCCCGTTTCCTCATTTTTTTAACTGTTCCCCTTTGTCCTTTTCTTCTCCTCCTCCTCCTCCTCCATCTCCTCCTCTCTCTCTTCGGCGTGAACAGAGAGGTGAAAAGGAAAGGGGAGAAGAACAAATTGAAGGGTCAGAGGAGAGGGACAGGAAGAACCCCACCCGTTCTTGTTCCTTTTCCTGTTCCTCGTCTTCGGGATTTGCAGTCGATCTTGTCCTTGTGGGTGGGTCTCTGCCTTGATGATCCTCGGACCTCCTGCCCTGCTGCGCACGCTATCTTGTTCTTTGTTTTTCCTTCTCTTTACTTGTTCTTGTATTTTTGTGGGGGAAGAAAAGTCTTAGCGCTTCGTTGAAGATCGCTGATCTCGGTGCATTTCTTTGCTCGGTCCGGTCAAACTCGAGCTGCGTTATCGTTGCCGGGTCGCTGACTTTTGTGCACCCCTGCCCCTCTCTCTCTTGTTCCCTCTCCGTTCTTGGCGATTGAATCGAGTTGTTCTAGGGTTATGGTTTCTCGCCTTTGAGCTCGTGCTTTGATTCCGCCGATTATCCACGGAGTTCCGCTCTCGAAGGTGCGTTCGACCCTCCTCGCAAGATTTCCCCCCACCCCCTTTTCTTTGACTTGTTGGCCCCGTTGGGAGCGATGTAGCTCTTCCTCGTGTCTTCTTGATTGGTTTTATGAAGGGGTCGGATCAAGGTTCTGAATTTCAAGAATGGTTAATCGCGGGCGTGTGCGCTTGTTTATGGGTGCTTTAGGTTTTCGGCGTCTAGGCAAATGGAGGCGTCTGGGGGCAATTCGGACCCGTACAGGGGATCATCCGCGACCGGGAGCAGTGGTAGCAGCAGCAGCAGCAGCAGCAGTAATTCGAGAAGATACAGCCTATTATCGGCTTCGAATCTCATACAGTCGCCCATATCCACTTTACTGGAGTATTCGGGTCTGTTAAGAACGAGGCCAAACCATCTAGAAACTGAGCCTTTGTTCCATGGAGGGGTCTCTGGAGGTCTTCACGGCCGGGCGGAGGATTCTACAGTGACGAGCAACGATGGGGAGGTTTCGATTCGGATAATTGGGGCGGGAGAACAGGAGCATCATAGGGAGAGGGCTGGATTGGTGGTGGGTCAGCAGGCGAGAGAAGCTGGTGCAACAAATGAGGCATCTACGCGATCGTCGGCTGCAATAGCGGCAGCCGATGGTCAGGGAGATGCTAGGAGTGGAGCGGGTGAGGGTGCTTCGCAGCCCGGGAATGGAGGCGGTGATTCAGAAGGCGGGGAAGCTAATGGCAGGGAGTCTTCGTACCAGAGATATGATATTCAGCAGGCCGCGAGGTGGATTGAGCAGATTCTGCCATTCTCACTGCTCTTGCTGGTGGTCTTCATCCGGCAGCATTTGCAAGGTATCTTCCTGGCATTTAGTGGTTTGCACTATTAAGAGATTGATAGTTTGCCTAGAGATGAATGCTCGTGAGAGTGCGATAGTTGTCTTCCAAATGGCCAAATGATTAGTGATGATTGTCGGTTTTAACTTTCTTTTGGATTTTTTTCTCCCTGATGTCTGTATGCCTGATTGTGATATTGCATATTACGGTTGATCACATGATTCCCAAAACATGGGGTGCCTCTTTTGATTTTGTTATGTCAAGAATGCACGAGAGAGAAGATCAAAGGGCACTTTGAAGCTGTATGGGATGGAAATGCTAGTATAGGTTACGAACATGAAATAGCCATATCAAATCTTTGAAATCTCTCTACCAATGGATGGCTGCTGCTACTTGACATTGATGATGACTATGAATGAAGCGATTGAGAGATCATCTGGAAGTAATTATGAATCATTATACGAAGAAATGGGACGGTTTGAGTTTGGGCGACTAATAATTCAAGGCTAGGTTGTTATAGCTGCAGCTGCTCTCTTTTTGTTGAGTAGCATTCTCTCAAGCTTACTCTTCTTAAAATCAAAATTTTTGTTTCTGAATGTTAAAATCAAGTGACATGAAAACTTGCAAAAATGTTATATACTTATGGTAAACTATGAACCTTTTTACTCTTTATTTAAGAAGTTAATAAGTGTTCTATTTTAGGCTCCTTCTCCTGGTCTAGAGTGGATATGTATGCAGCATGGACATTTTTTAGTTTTTGGGAAATTTTGTGGAGGAATTGAAGGCCTTTTCATTACTGATGTGGCCAAAATGAAAAGAAACATTTTTCGGATATAGTAACAAGAAGTCATTGCGAAGTCAAAAGTGGTTGTCATACTTGGTCACAGGGGCCAACAATGTGATTTGGCTCCTTAGATTGCAAATGGTGATTGAATTTTCTCGCGGAAATATTAATTTGTAGTACAGCATGGTTATTTGAAAGCAGTAGAGCTTTCCTTTTGTAGGTCTGTAGAAGTAAATGCCATATTATCTTCCTTTTAACTAGAGAAATGTATGTATGAGAGTGGAGTTTCATGTTGAGTGATTCGCAATTCTTTTTGGCAAGGAATTACAGGTTTCTTTGTTACCATTTGGATTGCCGCTGTCTTGTTCAAGTCAAATGATATCCTACGGAAGCAAACAGCTCTAAAGGTGCTTATTTTTCACATATATGGTACTTCCATATTTTGTAGGCAGTCCATATTTTCCAGAGTTGTTTGATTGTTTGGTTAAAAGGGGCAATTGGTTGTGGTTGCAGGGGGAGAGGAAAATTTCTTTTCTTATCGGTATTTCACTTGCATTCACACTTCATATTGTTGGGGTATACTGGTGGTACCGCAATGACGATCTCTTGTACCCATTGATCATGTTTCCTCCCAAGGGAATACCCCCTTTTTGGCACGCGATGTTCGTCATTGTAGTCAATGGTAAGTCTTTTTCTCCATGATAATAGATATATTGTTTCCAATGTTACTATCTTCTTTCCCTTACTCTAACAATCTTTTTCAGTTTGTGGTGTTGCGCTTGAGTACTAGCCTATGCTACCATCCAGACAAAAAACCCTTCTACTCCTAATTCACACGGCATTTAGAAAGAGCAAGAGAATTGGGAAATTCATATTTAAGCAACAGATTGATTAGAATGTAACATTCAGGAATTGTCCATGCTGAATTACAATATGATATCTTTTTGTAGGCTTATCAGCAATCTTTTGTGAACAGCCAAAAAGAACCATTGAAAACTTTCCTTTTATGACTAGGTCTCCCCTTGCAACCCCTGACATATGCCTCTGAATCATAGCTTTGTTGTATTAGATGAATAAGGCACCACGGAATGCCATTATTTCATGGGAACTTATCTTTATCTATGGCATATCAGTACAAAGAAGAGTTTTGTCTGTATCATCGTGACAAATAAATAGACATCCTACTCTGTTGGTGGGGGGCACTAATTAAATGTCACCAAGTGAAATTAAAAGCTATGACCAGTCAGCAGACATAACTGCAGGCTACATTTGTAAGAAGTCTTTCAGTATAGTACCATTGTTGAACAGAGACATGAGTAACTCAGCATATACTGCATATCAGTACTTATCTTATAGGTATATTATGTCATTTGTTGCCAGAAATAAGTTTTAAGAGAATGTAGACAGAGTCTTGAGCTTTCTCGTAGCTAACTAAGTAGCCATGTTGAGTGAAGCAATGTTGATTGGTGTTCTGTGCCAAGATTAAGGTGTAGGATTTTTCAGTCTTGAGCTGGATTTGGCAGCTGCTAAAATGGAGGATTGTTTCTCTTCTTCAATTCCAGTGTAATAGTATGCAGAGATTGCTTGACCTTATGCATGTATCGGACTGAAGATTTTTATCACGCAACCATATTATTTGTCATATTTCAATAAAGTTGAAGGAAACTCGAGTGGATAAGGATAGCAAGAGACAATAGAAGAAGGTTAATTATGTAATTGAGAAAGGTTCACTTCTTAGGATCAATGGCTTGCTCTTCCATCTGCATTCGTGTGCTTTGTTCGGCTTTCAGTTGAACATAGCGTATCACACTGCTGCCGCTGCCCCTCGGGCATGCCTCCTATGCTCAATTGATTATAGTGGGTCTATGGATATATTTATTATCTTTGACTTGGGGGTTTTGAGAGGAGATGGATGCTGCTCAGCAGAAAGCAAGGTGGAGATTAACAAGGGAGATTCAGATGTGGAATGGGAAAGACTTTTGAAAGGATGGGTTTAAATAGGGAGAAGTGGGATTATTGAAGATCCTTCATTACCCTTGCAGGAAACTATAGCTATGACTCGATTATTCTTTAATATCTGATGTAGCACGTCAGTTACATTGATCCTTGACTGGTAGATCTTATAATTTTAAGGTTGGAGTGGAGCATTATTATTTTTACGCATAATCACAACTGAAGAAATGTGTGATAGAATAGTGTGTTAGCCAGGGGATTCTGGAGCCAAAACAAGAGTGGTCTTTCCTGATAGGTGCTATGTTGCATTCTCGTTTTTAAGGCTTATTGTGAGCAGATGGAAAGTTAAATAGATCTTTGCCAATGCTGGTCGGTTTAACATAGGCACGCGATTTACAGAAGCACAAGATCCGTGCATGTTGGTCAAGTAATTGTTGGGATCCAAGTATTATATCCTTTATAGTTTGGGGACAAAGTTTTGTTTTGGTCCCCTTCTGAGTTTCTGAATCTTGTTTCTTTTAGATGCCTTCTTCGTTGTGTATTCAGATTAACTCTCACTTATTTGCTTGATGAGATTCTGGACATTATTCCTTCAGTGTTGTCTGAATTTTCTGAATGTGGTTCTTTTAGATACTTTGGTCCGGCAAGCAGCTATGGTGATCAAGTGTCTTCTACTAATATATTTCAAAAACAGTCGAGGGCGGAATTATCGCAAGCAGGTGAGGTCAAATCAGAGAATTATTACACTTTTCCGTTAAGGGAACTTGTGATTCTTGAGATGCTTTGTTAGAAGAGTAGAATGTGTATGTTTCTCATCTCTAGCTTCTTTCACCCCTCAACTGTCTTGCCCTCTTCTCCTTCCCTGCACTCTTTCACATCTTTACTAGAATAAAAGCTCTAGGTGTATATGGAGTTTAATATGTTACCCTGTCATTGTATCAATCTACTAGTACTGTCTCATCGCGTAATTTGTCCAGGAAAGGTATATGGTTTGTACTAGATGCACTAAATAACATTTGCTAGGCGTCAATACTGCTTTCTAACCCAGTGTCATTTGTTTTGCAGGGTCAAATGCTAACTCTGGTAGAGTATCTGCTTTTGCTATACCGTGCGTTACTGCCGACACCTGTCTGGTACAGGTTTTTCTTGAATAAAGAGTACGGAAGCCTTTTCTCTTCCCTGATGACTGGGTTGTATCTGACTTTCAAGCTCACATCTGTCGTTGAGAAGGTAGAGTCATTTAAACTTACATCTCCTTCTTGTGGAAGCTTTTGTTAAGCTTATGTCCTGATATATTTTTGGTCTTATATTCTTGTTAATATATTGTTCTCAGGTACAGTCCTTTTTTACTGCATTAAAGGCGTTATCTCGTAAGGACATCCACTACGGGGCTTATGCAACTGCTGAGCAGGTTATTGGACTTACATTTGTTATTCTTCTCTGGTTAATATTTTGAACTGAATGTTGCATGTCTTATCTCCATGCTACTGTTCATTTGAGAGCAACGATAGGATTTTTGTCCACGGCATTACTGGCAGTTACACATGATGAAACGTCATCAGCTACAATAATAGTATTCATTGATGCCTTGCATATGTACCTGGTCGCGTGCAATGTTTGTACTTGTCTTTTCAGCTTCTATTGGTCATGCAGTACTGTTTTGTCCTTTCTTCCAGTTGGTTTTTGCTTTGTTGTGGGGTGGACGTGAGAGTTTCCCATGCATTGAAGGAGTTCTTCATGTTATGCAGGTCAATGTGGCTGGAGATTTGTGTGCAATTTGTCAGGAAAAGATGCATGCTCCCATCTTACTTCGCTGCAAGCACATCTTTTGTGAAGACTGCGTCTCTGAATGGTCAGAACAACACTTTCTCTGTTGATGAAGTTATATATTGCATCTTTTGTGCAACTTCTTGTCTGTTAAAAAGAATCTCTTAGAAGCTGGGCTACTAAAAAATGAGGCCTGATATAGACTTACATCAGTTTGTGCTGTAAATACTGTTTATTACCCCGATAATCTCTCAGACGATACCTAATGCAATAAGGAAAGAGAACGTTGCGTGTCAAACAAAATGGAAGATGAGTATTGAAGTTCTTCTTAAGAATAAATACTACGCAAAAGTTTTGTTGGAACTACACCGGAACTAATAAATACTGTGTTCTCTAGGGAAATGATGCCAAATATGGCTCTACTCATCTTCAAGCGGATGCATGTTCACTTCCAATCATGATTTGCAATTCTTTTGTTTGTGCTGTATTTTGCTATCATATTCTGTGTACTTTATGTGTAATTATGCTTCTGCGTTGGAGCACTGGTTTGGCTTAAGGTCTCGTTACCGATGTTCCTGTACAAACAGGTTTGAAAGGGAAAGGACATGCCCGCTGTGCAGGGCTTTGGTGAAACCTGCAGATCTTAGATCATTTGGCGATGGATCGACAAGTCTGTTCTTCCAGATATTTTAGGAGCTTATACTGTTAAAAGCCTTGGAGTTTTATGGAGAAGGCAAATCCCAGGTACCATCTTGTTGGCATCTTCAACCGCAGAGGCAGATCCTCCAATATCTTGCTGTGTCTGATGTTTGTGTTCCTCTGAGAAAATCAGATTGATTGAAGTAGCCCCGAATTGCAAACTGGCTATGTGTTCATACGTTGTACCGAGTGTACCTAACCTCCGGTATAGAAGAAAGTATGTTTCATAGAAAACAATCGACATATGTAATTGTACCCATTTTTCATCAATGAAAGCCTTCTTCCATTTGAACTGACATGTATGCTTAGTGCCGACTGCTAAGATACACGCTTTCCTCGTATAGGTTGCGGCGTCAACTTAAGGTATTGAATTTGTGACATTAGGGGATTTAAAATTTGAAGTAAATAATGCATATGGTTGAGTTCTAGGTGAGGAGAGAGAGTTTATGTGATGCAATATCATGATTTGCTATTGTTTATCTCGATATTCGATTCATAATGTTTCCTTAAATTGTGAGATGCCTCTCTCACTAGGATGGTTTCTACGTGAATTGCTCAGTAATCATTTTAGTCCTGCATTGTTTGATGAATTGATGCTCGGATCTTCCTCGCATATTAATCGATGGATTGAGACTTTCAGGCATTCTGGAGAGAAGAGCTGCATAAGCTAATTCACAATATCCAATCACCTCTTCTCTTCTCACTCGCTAGTTCCATCACTCGTGTTTTGTGACTTTGTCTCGTTGTCTCTCATTCACTATGTCTTTCAACTTGGTGCATTATGCCCTCCCAAGTTTGATTTGCATCAGATTACCCCCTTGAAGTTTTTATATCTCAGATCACTTCACGGTTTCAACTAGTCCGAATCGGATCTGACATTCGATCACCTAGCTTGCAAGCGAGATACATTTTGATATTTGAGATGGAAAACAAAGCTTGGGGGTAAAATCTCGCCGCACAAATTGAAATCCATAGAAGGGCAATGAAACCCTGTGAAAAGTCTAAGGAGTAATGTAATATTCTAAATTTTAAGATTTCAGGTCATGCAATCAAAACTCGTAGAAATGGTGCGATTTAGTATCTCTCTTGAGTCCGCTAGTTTTAGGTGACAGAAAGTCGAACGTTTCTCTACGTAGAATTCTTTTATTGTCTTTTTTTAGTACATTTGGTGCTGACCTACATTAAGTACGTTGATTTTTTGAAAATAAAAATCTAGAGAATTGAATAAAAAAGTAGAGAGATTGAAAAAGATAATACACAAAATTTCTTTTTATTAATAATGTTTTAAATTATTTAATATTTTTTTTCTTTTTTTTTCTTTCTATCCTTCCTTCTTTGGCCATGGTTGGTCGCGCTGACGGGCCGCGATTTCCAAACCGAATGGCTAAACGGAATCGGTGGCTCTCATCGCACATTTTTTCCCCATTCAAGATAGCTTCGGAACTCACATTCGCACCTACGGGCCCTTAGTATCTCTCTTGAGTCCGCTAGTTTTAGGTGACAGAAAGTCGAACGTTTCTCTACGTAGAATTCTTTTATTGTCTTTTTTAGTACTGGCCTGGTCGACGGCCATGACCGGTAAAATATTTTTTTTATTAAAATATTTTTATTAAAAATATATATATATTTTTTTTTTTGCCATGGCTTGGTTGCCGGCCATGGCCGGTAAAATATTTTTTTTATTAATAATAATTTTATTAAAAATATACATTTTTATTTTTTTGGGCCATGGCCGGTAAAATATTTTTTTTATTAATAATATTTTTTATTAAAATATTTTATTAAAAATATATATTTTTATTTTTTTTGGCCATGGCCTGGTCGCCGGCCATAGCTGGTAAAATATTTTTTTATTAAAAATATATTTTTTCTTTTTTTTTGGCCATGGCCTGTAAAATATTTTTTTTATTAATAATATTTTTATTAAAAATATACATTTTTATTTTTTTTGGCCATGACCGGTAAAATATTTTTTTATTAAAAATATATATTTTTTCTTTTTTTGCCATGGCCTAGTCACCGGCCATGGCAGGTAAAATATTTTTTTATTAATAATATTTTTTATTAAAAATATATTTTTTTCTTTTTTATGGCCATGGCCTGGTCGCCGGCCATGGCCGGTAAAACATTTTTTATTAATAATATTTTTTATTAAAATATTTTATTCTCGTCAGATCCGGCGAGGGCGGTCCTCGGGCCGGACATTAGAAGCTAAATAAAAAATCAAGAAAAGGAAGAAGAAAAAAAAATTGATTCTCAAAATTGTTCCCAGAATCAAGAAGCTATTTTTTTTTTATTCTTGATTTTGTTCCAAAATTGATTCTGGGAACAATTTTTGACAAAATTGTGCCCAGAATCAAACAATTAAACAAACGCATTTCTGTTCCCAAACTGATTTTGGGAACAAAAGAACAGAATCAAACACTGTTTGGCAAGTTGTCATGCGCAGCCTTGGTGCTGACCTACATTAAGTAGGTGTCGCGTCAATAACGTTGATTTTTTGAAAATAAAAATATAGAGAATTGAACAAAACCGTAGAGAGATTGAAAAAGATAATAAAAAAAGGGGCCCCTTTAACCTTGTTCTTTGCCATTGTGAAGGCAGCTTGATTGGTAGCAGGCGATCGGTTTTCGGGTGGTCTGGTTTCCACTCAGGAATCGGTGGTCCTAGAATTCGGTCCGATTTCCGAATGGCTAAATGGAATCGGTGGCTCTCATCGCACATTTTTTCCCCATTCAAGATAGCTTCGGAACTCACATTCGCACCGATCATGATCACCTGATCCGAAGCTGAGTTGTAGATGCGCTTCGACCTTGATTCTGATCGAATTGGCTATTGAAGAGAGAGGGAGATTCGTTCTTCTTCTTCGTTGAGATTGAAGGAGAGAGACAAGGCATATGTTTCCTTGGCTGGGGATTGACGGATTTTATCAGATTTGTAAGAAGCTAGCTCTCCAGACAAGGAGGGAGAATAGGAGTATCCAGTAGGTTCTTTTCAAATTCGTAAGAAATAATAAAATAATAAAATAAAAATAACTGGTTCGGTTCGAGTTCGGGTGGTCAGTGTCACCCTTGGAACCATGAACCGAACCGAAATTCACTGGTTCCAATTTTATCGAATTGGGAATCGGACTGGTTATCCTGAGAATCGTCCAAAACTAGCCGGTTAGGTCCCATTCGGGCAACTCTTGGTTTGGGCAGTTCCTTTCACTGACCACTAATTGATGCAGTGGTCACAAGAAAGTGATCTTAGCCAATGGATGACAAATGCTTGCAGGGATGGGGAGGGACCCTTCTAATCTCAATTGCCGACCCGACCCAAACTTGAATATTGAAGAATTATTATTTATATTTTTAATAGAAGTACTCAAATATATTTTTACTACTGAATTTGATGAATGTCACCTGAAATCCCTCTTATTTTTGTGTAGACCGCTTAAGCGTATGTCTATGGGTCTAAATATATCTCCGTTGTTCTCTTATTTCTCACCAAAACATGACGAGTATCATTAAACCTTGCCTTTTAAGGTGCAAGTGTTGTGCGCCACATCGGTGCCGAAATATTACAAAAATAAACAGTAAAAATGAAAATTAGATAGAAGAAAAAGTTGTTCAACTTTTTCATCACTCTAGACACAATGCACATTTTTCCTTTTTTGCCAAGTTTCGAACCTAGCCAACATCCTTGTTGCATGGTCCGAATGTTTTACGACTCACTGCATCAAACAATGCATTTGGTTTACTAGAAGTGATAACGAGTGGTGACTTTAGTTACTTTTTTTCAAATTAATGGATGAAACATGCAACTCAGCCTCGCCCAACTGCGTATGCGTCATTTCGGAAGGCATATTCTGGTCGAACTCTGGGCATATTCACCCAGGTCTTGTTCCTTTGGAATGGTAGACACCACGAGTTCGGTTCACTGATATCGTGTGATTTCATGCTGCTTTTGGTAATTTTGCTGCATTTTTCCCGCGTAATGCTACGTTTCGATGAGTTTGTGTGTGAAATTTGCTGGGTTGAGAATGTAATATGTGGCCAGTTTAGTTTGGAAGTAGCTGAAGATAGAACGGCAATAACAATGTAAATGTTTTTTTTGGTCGAAAATAACAATGTAAATTTGACTGCTTTATTGTGCAATTTTCAACCACCCCTTTAACTTTGGCCTTTTGTCACGATTCTTTTGATCGCGAACCATGCGGCACCTAGACCTCGAATCATGGAAATGAATTCTTAGAGTGAAAAAGTAGAAAGAAATTTTAGAGAATGCTTATATTGCACAAATGAAATGGGTGATACAAATGAGGGGATGTTCCCCTATTTATATAAAAATCCCTCTAATCACAACCACTAATCTTTTATATGATCTAATGGTAAAGGATGCCAATCTTTGTTTAGTTGATCCAATAGTAAATATTCACTCGATCTAACGATGGAGGTTATTGATCCTCGTCACATTAATCCAACGGTGAAAATTGGCTCTATCCAACGGTTGATGGTATCGATTCTTGTTGAACAAATCCAATGGAAGAGATTTGAGTCATTATAGGCTTTGATGAGCCCTTTGGATCGATAACGTGGCGTTCCTTTGGATTGATAATTCTTTGATCCGTGATACTTTGCCATTGTGAAGGCAGCTTGAATGGTGGAAGTGATCACAAGAAAGTGATCTTAGCCAATGGATGACAAAAGCTCGCCGGGATGGGGCGAGGGATTCTTCGAATCTGTAACTGCGGACCCGACCCGACCCAAACTTGAATAGTGAAAATTCATTTTATATATTTAATGGAAGCACTAAAATATATAATCATAACGTTGAATTAAATGATTCTCACATGAAATCTCTCTTATTTATGTGGAGTTTGCAATAGTGGCAAGAGCGCTTAAGCGTCTTTGATTCTGTGTGTATAGATCTAAATTTCTCTCCATTGTTCTCTCATCCCTCACCTAAACATAACGAGGATCATCATACCTTGCCTTTACCGAACAAGTGTTTTGTGCCACATCAGTGCCAAATATTATAAAAATAAACAGTAAGAAGAAAAATTAAATTAAATGAAAAAAGGCCATTCAACTTTTTTATCGCTCACGACCAAATGCACCTTTTTTTTTTCTTTCGTTTGCCCATGCTGAGTTTCGAACCCAGCCAACACCTCATTACATGGTCCGAATATTTTACGACTCACTATGTTAATCAATGCATGTTTTAACACCTTTGATTTATAGAGGTGATTAATGAGTGGACGGTGCACTCGACCTGTCCAACCCAAAATGGGCAAGTTTGGATACCGTTGTAACATGAAAAAGTCGTCATACATGAATATTTATGCGTACAAATTTATGGTGTGGCCGAGTTTGGCCAATTCATTAAACCCGGCTAAGATTACCATGTGAGTGTCCCAACTGCTTTTGTTTGCTCTTTTTATAGGACAGAGGAAGGGGAGGATAGGCAAAAGTGGAGGAGGTTAGGTGATGACAAAGAAGGGCGATTGTCCTGCTCATCTTCATGTGCGAAGTGTCTTCGTCTTTGGATGCATTCCATGTGTGTGACATTCTTCTCCCATCTATCCTAAATTATTGTCGTCGATTCAATTACTGGTCTTTTTCCTTTTTCTTTTGGAGAAGGAAAAATCTCATCTTTTTCGCTTGATGCGGTTCCCCCTTGACTCCCCTTCCTCGGTGGGAAAAATCCCATCTTTGCCTCGCTCCCGTGCGACTCGAAATCGCCATCTTGCGCGCGACTGCTCATTTGAAGTGACCGGCGAAGTCCCATTTCGCCTAGTCAACCCCTAAATTCTTCCCCGTTCGTTTCTTGGGTTGTTGGGTGTTCTTGTTTTCGCGTTGACTCTCCTATGGTGTTGGCCGATCCCACTCGGGCAATCGCCGATCGCGCTGCCTTTCGGGGAGAGACGGGTTGATCCGGACGCTGTCGGGCCATCGCTGTTGATTGTGCTGGGGGTGCTGAGCGCCGTGTTTGTTCTCCTCCGGGTAATGTTTACGGGTTCCGATTCGAGCTTTTCCGTCTTTTGCTTTGTTGGGATGGTTAGAATTTACTGTTTTGTGGCATCTGGGTCATGCGCCGCGGTACAGAGCTGGTCGTGCCCTTTTTAGCTGTTTGGGTCTGGTAGATTTTGGTGTGGAGGAGGGGCGAGAAGTGAATTGTGGGGGTTCTTGATCTGGGTCTTGATCGATTGTTTGATTGATGCTTGCCATTGGTGTGGGAAAGCCATGGGTTTGCTTCAGCAAGTGGGGGCAAGTCGCTAGTTTGGATTTCTTTGTTTAGCGTCCGTTGAATGCATATGAGGGAAATGACGGCAAGTGAATTGGTATCTTGTTACTCTGCAATTTGAATTATGTGCGTGCTGCATGGCTCTTCGATGGCTGAATCCTGACTGCAAGGTTGCTTTTGAACATTACTTTTGGTTAGAGGAAAACGAGTGATTTAATTTGTGTAGCAATACGGGATCGTATAAGAAAAGGCTTTGAGTAACACAGCCCATCCATAGGGAGAAGGCATAAAGGGAACCGGTTTGGTTCGGCATTTTCCTTTAAGAGAACTTTATAAACCTTCAGGGGCTGCATGCCTACTTGTGTTTATGTACTCTATGTTATTACTTGCCTAAGTCTCTTTTGCAAGGTTAATTGGAGTGTGTGGATTCTTCCAGTTTGTGGAAACTGACTTTGACTAAGATGTGTTACAATAGGGGTAAGGTCCTCTACATGAGGTAGTTGAAGATATGACGACCTGGTCTCTAATTTCATTTGGGATGATATCCATACTAAAGTGCATGAGCCATAGCTAAAAGACCAAATTACATGCTTAGTTGTGGATGTTGAAACACTGAGACATTGATCTGAGTGTTCCAGATTACTGGTTTTTCCATGACACGGGAGGAGCTGTTCAAATGGCAGATCTCTTTGGAAATGTTGTATCGTGGTATCTTGGAAAACCTGAATGGGAAGCATTTTTATCTCTTTCTATATGATGGGTTTTGCAATTCCACCTAGAATGCCTTTAAGCTGGAGGCCTCTTGCAGCAGTTATCATCATCATGTGTAATGTTCTTGTCTTCCTGATGTATGTATAAGATCAAAGGTTGACCTGTCAATTCTGCAAACGACTTTTTACTTTTTCCCGTGTATTTGCTGCTACTTTCACTTCCAACCGCAGTGGTGCTTCTCTTCTTGAGACGTCAGCACACTAATGCTTGTGGCCCAATCCTATAGTGGTTCTACACTGCTTGCATTGGTATGAATGAGCTATTACGGATTTCTTGAACGTATAACTTGTATCTTGTGGGTATCTCCATACATCTTGTCCCACCGCTGCCTTTAACTTTCGGCTAAAGCTGTGAGGACATAATGAAGACATATGTTGCATGACCATGATGTGGTCCCTGATTCTGATTTCTTTTCCTTTTTTTTTATTTGTTTTATCATTCTTATCATTGTTTAAACCTTTTGCTTTTCTTTAGGTTCTCCTCCAATGGATGCGGACCTACACGCATTGTCAGAGGAGTTGCCCCAGTCCACGGAGAATGGTAATATGGCTGATGTTCTATCTAGAGAGAATTTGATCCAGCCAGCAGTATGTGCTATATGTCACGCAAATAGTGTTGCGCATGGCGATCAGGAACCATCTAATATATGTGGGGAGTGTAAATTTTTGTTAATTGAAGATTTTCAGAACCCGATCAGAGAATCCCGTGATAGATTTCGCAGAGGAAGTAGAATTAGCAGAGGAAGAACTAGGTACAGCAGTTCTGAGTCTACAGAGAGTCGATTCTCGCGACAGTTCTCACAAATGCTTAATTTGATTAGGCAAAACCAGTCCACTGCCTATATGCATGAGGAGAATTTCTCAGATGGTGAAACTTCTGCGAGGTTATTGCAGCAGACAAGCACCTACACTACTCCAACTGGCTCTAGAAGATGGAGGCATGTGGTTTCTGATGCAGAGAGTGATGGTTTTGACAATGTGGATTCTACTTATGGGGAGAGCGACACGAGTGTCGGTTTTGGTCGGTTCAGGGTATTTCATGCCGAGAGTGACGGAGTTTCCTTTAGTGCTTATGGATGGGACTCGGATGCATCAATTGATGGGCGCAACAGTATCATGGATGCGGAAGCATTCTTTCAACCAGATGAGGCAAGTAATCAAGACAGCGATACTGATATTGATCCAATGCATGCTGGTATCAACCACTGGAGCTTGGATGACCGAGAAGAAGATGAAGGAGAAGGGGAAGAAGACTATGCAGAAGAAGATGAATGGGAAGAAACTGATGCAGAGGAAGACATACCTGAATTGGCAGAAGGCCATGGTCAGATTCAAAATGCGGTTATTTCAAGTCCAGCTGAAGGCAGTGGCCCCCCTGACTGGAGTCACTTGATTGTATTTCCCCAAGAGGGTATGATACGTTGGAGAATCCGGCAAAGTAGGCAAATAGATCTCCGTGACATCCTCACTAATGGAGACGAATCACAGTTGCCATCAGAGGTTGGGCATTCAGGAGATTATCTGGATGCAAGAAGCTTTGAAGAATTGCTCGAGTATCTTGCAGATAATGAGAACTCACATCGAGGAGCTCCTCCCGCAGCAGTTTCTTTTGTAAATAGTTTACCTCTGATTGTCATTGACGAGGATACTCCGAAGAATGATGACACAGCCTGTGCAATCTGCAAGGACGTCTTAACAGTTGGGACAGAAGCGAACCAGCTTCCATGTCGTCACCTTTATCACCCCTCCTGTATCTTGCCATGGTTGAATACACGCAACTCATGCCCCCTTTGTCGCTATGAACTTCCAACTGACGATAGAGACTATGAGGAGGCTAAACAGAACATCAGTAGGAGCAGGCAGATTGATGATAGTAGTGGGTGGACAGGAGCAATTGACGACAATTCCTCAGATGGGGCTGAAGCAGATGAAGAGCGTGAACTGGACCAAAATATTATGGAGCAGGGAGACATGTCGGATGGGTATCCTCGCGTTAACGGTTCTGATGGAGAGACTGGAAGAGGCAGATGGTTAGTCCTCGCTGCTGCTCCAATTATTAGCCTTGTGGGTGTGGCTCTCGTGCTGTGGTTGGGGAATCCTCTTGCTCAAAGGAGAAGAGCCACTAACAATCGCAACTTCACCGAAGGGCATTTACGCCAGGTTCCTGGTTTTGGTGCTTCTGCATCTAACAGAAGTGAGCGCACAAACGGGAGATGGTGGTTCCCTTTTTAATGCGTTTTTCGCTGATAACTCTAATCGCTAATTCAGTTATCAAATCTATTTTAAGCAGGAGTCGTGTTGTGATATATTCATTCCGCTGATTCTGAATGTGTGCTGATCAGAACCTTTTCCATGGATTAGAGGTTTCGCGATCAATTGTTAATTTGGTGCCTAGCATGGCAAGTCTGAGAATTTTCTCGGCTATTGGAGATGTTAGTAAGTCTGTCTTATGCGATGCAGCAACTTCCAAGGTGGGCTGTTGCTGTCAAATCGATCACCAATTTTTGTGGTGGTTTTCTGGGTTCAGATTGTAATATATAATGTCTTATGTTTTGGGTTCTTAGAAGGCATCCATCCAGATTGTAGCACTGAAGGTCAAAAACAGATGCTCTCAACCTGAACCTTTTTCAATTCACGGGGAATTGGGGTTTGTTGCATCTATCATCTATGTCAACGAATGGAGATGATTCAAGAACCATACCCCTCCTTTGTAGTGCCAAGTTTCAGTTGGGCCTAAATCTATGCATATTTGGGGAAATTTATATGACATTCTCCTCGGATGTTCATTATCATTCTGGGAAAATTTTCTTCCGGTAGAATCAGTAGCTTCATCCTATGGATATCCATCTTGCAATTGCTCAGGATACTCTTTTTTACCTTTTAGAATCTGTTTCTTAGTTCAAGATCCATCTTACTAACTGGAATCAAAGAATTATTAATTCTGTTCCACCCAAAATGGAAATGTGCTAAGGTTATGAACTTATAATTTATAATTTGATGATCGGTGATTACATTATAAGCCTATCACGGATTGACTACATATGAAGTGTTTGCTTGGAGTAGCCAAAATTATTGGGGCTATTACATGACCCTTTCTATATAAATGCTATTACAGCTATTTCTAAAATACCCTTGTTTCTTTTCTCTCCCTTACTTTACCTATTTTAAATTACAATAAATATGACTAAATTTTGTATTAATTACAATTTAATTTGTTTATATTACGTACGTAATGAAACCGAATGTAATATTTTCTAATAATCACATAAAATTATGATAGTTAATCATGATCACAAATGAAGTATCAAATAATAAGTAAAAAATGAGTAACAAATTATGTTATCTTGCGAATATATAATGATTCACTATATTGAAATTTATTCATAGTGTAACAACTAGAATAAGCTGTTTACTACTGGTTATCATTATCTATATTTTTCACAACTCAATAAAATGTTATCCAAAATATAATGATTATCTTATTAAAAACTACTTTAATTAACATTTAAATAGTCAAACACTTAATTGTTTCAATTATACCCTTAATAATGTAACAATATAACATCTATTCTAAAGTAATCACAAATTATATGAAGAACTTATCAACTATTATTTAATAAGCAATTATCGTTTGTAATCATTATACCTGTTCTTATTGTAATTTCAAGGGTATTTAATAAAATTATTATACTATTTGTCCTTTATATTATATGCTATTCATGAAACCAAACGGTAAATTACATCACTTAAACCAAATTGCATAATAACTATTACAACTCTAATTTTTTATGGCATGATAACTAATGCATTATGAAACTTCATTTGTTTCGCGGAGAATGAGTAATTTTAAAAAATATTTTTCTATAAATGATCACTTAATAAGAATGGACAAATATGTGCCAAAAATTCAAGCACTCGAAGTGTGTTTTTTCGAGGAAAATAAATAATTTGAAAAAAAATTTCCTAAAAATTATTGCTTATATCATTTAAAGAAATGAATGGACGAAAATATATTTATCGTTTATGAAAATATTTAGACATAAATTATTATCGATAATAAAAACATTTCCCATTATCAATTATTCAAAACAATATAACCGATTATTCTCAAGAAAAAAACTTTCTAAATCATTCATTTTGGCGCAAAACAGATGGAGCCTCAACATGCCCTCAAATAGACCCCTCCTAAACCCTCATTGCAAAAAAATCAATACTTGCTTACAGCACATAATCAGGAACCATTGCCACTTTAAAACATCACTTAGTGGTTCAGTGATGATGCATCAACATTTCGGCCTGCTGCACAGTACGGCCACACAGGATCGAACGAGACAATTTTTCGTAACGAGCAAATGGAGATATCTTCCTTAGAACTGGGCCAACTTCTTAACTTACAAGCTGTTGATTTCCTTTTACTTCCCGATATAACAGTAATTAGTAAGTGGAAGTAAAAAGAAAGGATGACTAATACGGGAGAATGATAATTAGATACATATCAGAGATCGGGAAAGACTCCGCGTGCGCCTTTCTCGAGCGTATCATCACCCCTTGCTTTTCTCTTCCATATAAAGAATTCTCGATACCGCGTTGATCTGCACACGTGTCACTGAATTTGGAAATGCAGAACAAGCGAAAGAATAACAGGCTTGTCGCTGAGCTGAGAGGGCGCTGCAGATTCAGAACAGTAGATTGAGGTACAGAGTGATCCATCCAGCCATAGATAAGACCGCGAATATGTGAACCCAAAACAGGACAGCAGCCGCCTCCCTACCGCAGCCGCGTAAGTTAGCAACCGCACCTGTGGACAAGATACGAGTGATCAGTGGTTTCTTTTGCACACCTCCAAAGTATGTGAGGAGTAGATTTCAACATGCTAAAGTCCCAAACTAGTCCTTGCTTAGTGTTGTATCGATCAAATAGCTCTGACAACACATTTAGAGGATATTAGTTTGGATACTTAGCACACAGGACATGACAATGTCGTATCTATGCGATGGACAGTGTGCTACTAAAGTTTACCCTTATATTGAATTATCCGAAAGCAGTGATCTAATGCCAGACCATCATTTACAAAATATCAATTGCTTTCAACAATGGCAAGAAATTTATCAACCACAATCTTAAGGATACAGAAGAGCTTCACTTCACTTCACTTTCATTTCACAACAAATAAGGCCGGGAAGATAAGAGTTAGGGTCTTTACCAGACAGGATTGAAGTTGGCATTGTGTGCTGCAGCAATAAGACAAATCGAAACATCTGATCACCAGCTGGGAGGAAGCCCAGTTTATCAGCAAGCATGACAATACCAAGACCTACTGGAGGCACCAAAAGCAAACGTGCAAAAATAATTGCAGCAGTAGTACGTAGACCGAGTTTTGAACTTCCGGGACCTGCAAGCACCCAAAAGTACTTGTAGTCAAATGCCTGAATGGCGAATGCAACTATCGTTTCTCACTTAGGTCCACAACCCAAATGTAAAGTTGTCAATGCGATATGCATGTATCATTCTGTAAAATGCATGCAACTGTGGCTAGGAACTTTACTTACCATCAACAAGGTTGCCTCCTAATGCCAACAAGATACACGGAATCATGGCCTCCCTGGTAGATAGTGAAAAGAATTATAAACTCAAAAAATTGAGCACAAAGTAACCATGCTTCATGATATAAGAAAATGACTAGGCTCACGAGATGTAATAGTCTTTGGGACACTACAACCCATGTGCATAACTCATAAATAACTACATCAATATCAAAAAGATCTGCGTTTTATTTTGCCTGAAAACAGTTTCTCAGCTTCCAGGCTGTAGTGGTGCAATTTTAAGTTTTAAAAGCAGCCATGCTTGCCAAAATGCTGAAAGCTACAATTATTAGATCATCTCTCAAATATCACTGCAATCGGCAAAATCATGGGTTATTACTAAGCCAATAAAAGCAATAACAGGGAGGAACTGAAGTATAACACTACAGTTACACGGATCTAAAAGATACAAGAAGCGAGTTCTGATGAGCAGGTATCAGAGAAATTAGGAAGAATCTGTAGTGGATACGACACGTACCCAAGAATAATGCAGCCGTCAGTCAAGAAGAAAAGTGGAGCATCAGAAGTAAAGATCAATTTCTTGAAAAATGGTATCACTCCAAGACCCATGGCCAAGATCTGCATGTAATGGGGAATGTCGATAAAACGCATAAGCTAAAAAAAACAGAAACATGTGGTAAGAGAGAGCAAAACAAAGAGTGCCGACTGACTATTCTTTAGATATGCTCCATAAAAAATCCAAAAGTTAGCATCTCAGCCATCTTAACAAGTTTTTGGCTGGCACTTTCCATTAGCAGGCAACATCTCTCATTATATTGGCCTATTCATTCTGAAGAGTACATATTGAAAGAGCAATGGCAGTCCAATACAGACTAATCTTCATGATTTACCTGTTTCTTTCTTTCTTTCTTTCTTTCTTCTATTGCTGAATTGGTTGACCAAAAAAAAAAGTCCACAAATTCCCGCCAAAATAAAGAATAATTAAGAAAAAACTCAAGGTGACTTTAAATGTTATTACTTCTGTGTTTTTAAAGATTCAAGCTGCTCATTGAATAAAAGCCCAAACTCAAACTCTAAAGTTAGGGAAAAGTAAAATAAAAAAAACCTACACCAAAATTAACTGAATTTCCACCTCATTATGAAAGCAAAGTTGGTCATGATTGATTTATAGACAGAAAAAAACCTTGGCAAAAGGGTGATGGCCCTTACTATTGGATGACCCAAATCTTCCTGCAAAATCAGGGTGATCCACCAGAAGAGGCACAATTACAGGGTCTCTGATCAAATTTATTTTGGCCTTTCCTTTTGTCCCTTGAACCGGAAACAGAAGATTATTCCACATAGTTTCTTAATGTCAATTTCTCATTTTCTAGGCGTAAATCAAACGTACTGAGAAGATTTGGAACCAAGAGCAATAAGACGACACAACAATGAACACCATCACTTCCCAAGAAGAATTATGGAATAGTGATATTAAGGATGAAATAGAGCAGAATATAACTTACAGAAGCAATGATTGGAGGCTGAAGAATCTGCTTGAGTTTCAGTTTTTCATATAGAAATACAAGGATTTGCTTCATCTGCAATGAAAAACATACAAAAAGGTTAGAGTCTTAAGAAAGCCCAAGAATGATTTGTAAATAGCCCCTTCCTGACTGTCTAGAGTTCAAACTGTTGAATTTAAAATTTATAAAATTTTATCACAATTTAAAAGCAAGTTTTAACCTGTAATCAATTTCTTCACATTCTCAACCTAAAGAAGAATGAATTAAAAACAAATTTACCTTAAGAAGCTTTATAAGTGCAGAAAACTCAGATGGCAATTGGCAAGAATACATTTATCCAATATCATGACATTGATGTGTCAAGAATAGCCTATTCTGCATGACTTGTGATTGTAAATTAGTTAGATTACTCTCTTTATCATAGTTATTCTCGTTCTACCCCGTCAGTTTCCATGGCCAGTGTAGTGAGGCAAAACAAGCAAGTGTGCCAAAAACCATTCCTTCCAGTTTGATTTTAATTGGAGATGATGAATAGCTAAGCTTTTTTACTTTTAGTTTTTTCTTTTTGCTAAAAAAATAGGGTTTGAATGGGGTTGGGACCACCTCACCCGCTGCTGGAAGGTATATGCACTTTGATCATGTTACAATAATATGCTGCTTTATGTGCTGCAGGAATACCTTTCTAAACCATTATGTCTTACTTCTACTCTATACTTGGTCTCTTGTCCATCCTGTCGACTTCTTCTTGTTAGACCTCAATACACAATTCCTATTTTTGAGGCACCCCTCCTCAACATTATTGAGCTTTTTTAAGGGGGAGTGGTCATACATCTTTAATACCATTTGCATTGCAGATTTTTCACAATTAAGATCAGATACAAGGGAAAAAACTGTCATATAGGAGAGGTCTTCAAGCAAACTTAATACAGTGTTTTCAAGTGCATATTTGGACATATACAACAACAAATAAAGACTCAACTCACTCATGGCGTGCATATTTTGGCAAATGACGATATAAGTTCATCTGCAGAACAAGAAGCTGTTACCTTCCCATTCTTCTGAGGATTTGAATTTGACTGCACATCATCGTGTGTAAGCAGCAGAGCTTGTTCTGGAGAATCATCTTTTGGGATTTGTGCACCATCTTTTGGAGGATCTCTAATGGGAAGATTTGCTTCCTCAACGTAAAAGGTTCCTTCTGGAGGAGGTGCCAACATATTGAAAACATATGTGTACAAGACAATTGCTCCAACCTGACCACACGCACATCAGCGATTAATTGGTATTTAAAGAGTCACCTATGAGGAAAAATGTACTCAACATTGATTCCAGCTGTATTCACCACTCAAAAGTTGCACACAATCGTCTTACTAACAGTTCAGACATGCAAATAGTAATCAGTCCGCTGAATTAGGATGTGAACATGATTTGTATGTCAACATCTTGACTCTTTATGATGTTTCTACCACCTACTTAACTACCGTAACATCGTCTGTTTGGAACACTTCAATTGTCTACTGAGCACTCAATCACTTAGAGACTAGCTTTGCAATAACACTGATTTGTTGTCAGTGTTCTTGACACCACTAGAATAAGATTAAAGGCCACGGGCACAAAATTTGTTTATGCGACTCAATCAGTTCCCCTGCCATGTAAAGATTAGTGACGTAGAAGTGGCAACTTCAAGGCAATCAAATCTAACCGCCAGATTTAGTTTGTTAAAAGTAATATAGTATTATAGGTCATCACCCTATAGAGGGAAATTCAACAGTCTGACAGGTCATGTCAGCTGCTCATGTAAAATCATAGCAAAATTTTATGGTTAAGTGAAATGTGCATGAAACTTACCCACTGCCCAAATGATATATACGCCGTCCCATCTGTACTACATGTTCCTGAATCTCCAAATGGATTGGATTTATCTCTACACAAAGCAGCAATCAGGACAAGTGGCACATTCCCAATGTTCCCTGCAAGCAACAGCGATATCATGACAGGGAACTTACTTATCTAAATGCTAAAGCAACATAAGTAGGTCAGAGTGCATAAATTCCAAAGAGTTGATCCCCCACAGGGTCCCAGAACCATGAGTGGACATTCATACTGACATAACTTTTTCCAAAATGTAAATCAAGGGACCATACACTGTCCAGAATCCATAGCATCGCATGAAACCATACTCCACAATTTTTTCGTCAGAAATGGGCATGATAATCAAACTTATCCAAATTCTCTGTTGTCAAGTATTTTTAATCAGACTTAGCTTAATCTTGCCACTATCCATGGTGAATGAACAAGAAAAGCGCTAAAGCTTCTCGAGATTTTCTGTCTCTCAAACAGTAGCTTACCTATTCCAATTTGTATGATTGTAAACTTGAAAAAAGGGTAAGGCGGCCGGACAATATACGCCACGACTAGACCTATAAGTGATCCTGATATGGTTCCTAGAACAACATTAGCTGGAATGAACCACCTGCAAGAAGATGAAATCTACTTTTAGACATCAATCCTTTTACTTTTTAAGTAGCATTGTCGAAAAAGAAGGCCGAATTACACTCACCACTCGATCATTTTCTCCAAAGTGATGGCTTGTCCAAGTTGAGAAAATATCAGACATGGAAGCAGAAGTGAAAAGACCAGCTGCACAACACAGTAAACAAAAAAAAAGAAATTGGCCGTCACTATTTATGGAGAAAATCTATGTTCTTGGGACGAATAATTAGCCACCATCACTCCGCCGAATCTTTCCATATTTGCTTGTACAGAGGAAACTGAAAACAAACATATGACCAACATACGATTTAGCTCACCCCGTTCAGTAATTTCCTCCCACTGGCAGGCAAGATGTTAACATACTTGGAAGCCATCAGAAAGCCCAGGAAGCACATGGTGAACACCTTCGCAATCGGGAGCACGGCGATCTTGATGGTTGCCATAAGCGACTCTCCCCCGACCTGAGCTTCCGCCGCCATCGCCAAGAATCTCTGCATACTCTCCGCCCTTCACAGAGGAGACTTTCCCCCTGCACATTCACCAACACCGCCTCGAAACCTCTGAAACAATTGATCAACAAAAACGCCTCCGATCGAGCTCGATTAGGGATCCAATCCTCATTGAAATTCAGCTCGAAGCTTCTCAGATGCAAACCGTCGAGTCCGATTCAGAGAAGTTCGAGACTTCCTTCAAGTCCGAGGACCAAATACTGCCCTGTTCAACAATTTTGCTCGATTCTCAAATCTGCACCAGCAAGAACAAAACCAGAAACGCGTTATTCGAAAAGGGCAGAGCTCCAATCCTCGACAATGCACGAAGACAAGCTACCGAACCCAAGAACAAGAAAGGAACACAGAGTCCGAGTACCAATCAAATTACACCAAAACGACGGTAAAATCCAAAAACCAGAGCCAATTACCCAGCATCAATCAAGAAACAACCCACCGCGCAGGACATGAATTTTAAACGCACAGGAACATCAGCAAAAAGCAAGAATTTCTTGCACGACTCAATGACTCATCATCGTTCACGAACCTTCCCCAACGCAACAACCCCGTGAACGGCAAAGCCTGAAAGCGCCAGCCGTCCACGTGAAGCGCCACGAGAAAGCGCCAGAACTCGCGCGAGAAGAACTCCCAAGAAGAAAAAAAAAATTGCAAAAGACACGAATTTCCGCGTGACCCAAGATCGAGAAGTCGGAGGAAAATGCCGGGAGCAAACAATAAATGACAGCAGCCGAAGAAAACGATGAAGAAAGAGACGGGATAACATACACATAACAGGTGCGCGCGTGCGGGCAACACTTGGAGGAGGAGGAAGAAGAAGCGGGGTTGATCCGATCGGAGCGTTTCAGGGGGCTCTTCCGGATGCAACAGCAGCAGCAGCAGCGAAAAAATTTATCATCTCCGCAATCGAAAACGAGATTTAAGTAAGGGATCAAGAAAATAAAAGAGGAGCCTTTTTTTTTTTTATCTATCTACCCCTATTTATATTTTCTTAAAAATCCGATCTTTTTCTTTTGGGCGTCCGTCGAACTACTCGGCCCGTCTTCCCTTCAAGCTGCGTGCGTTGTTGGGTAGTTGTTGCATCATCATCGTCTCTCGAAGCCGCTTCCCCATCTGAAAAGTTAGAAGCTTTTTGACTCTTCTCGCCCGACCATCAAACGTAGAAGCGCGACAGAGAGAGCGAGAGGGACTGTAATTTACAGTCTTCCGCGGCGACATTGTTAATAGGGAAATTTTTTTTAACGATCTTGTCCTTAAAATAATTCATTCGAAGTAAGCAAACTTCCTTAAAGATGTATGATTCGTTCAATTTTCGAAACCGGTCAAGAAAAAAAAAATATACTTCTACGCTCTTAGTTGTGTTTAATTAGTGTCTCGAAAGTACTAAAGACCGGTCATGATGTGCATTTTACTAGGAAATTACGTCAAGCGATGAGCCGGCCATTCGGAATTCGTTACTGTCGTCGAAAGTCGATATGCACGAGTTGGGAATAAGCAAACGAGGAAAAGGGAACGAGGAGGAGCGATCGAGATTGACAGAACTGCTCTTCTCGCTCTTCTCAGCATTAACGTGAGGATTTTGTGTCCATTATTAGGGGTGTTCAAAATGGACCGCCCAAATTGGGAACCGCTCAGACCGGCTAATAAAGTCAGGTTCCCAAAAGTGATGGTCTGGTTTTCGGTTCATAAAAGTGAAATTGATGCTCTTCCCAGTTCCAAGAAAGGAATCGGATCCACTACATATGATTTTTTTTTATATTTTTTTATTTCTTCAAAAAATTAGTAAAATGTGAACTAAATCCTAAGTAAATTTCATTGACATTAAGTAATCAGTTTCATTGGACCGGACCAGACCAACTCGAACTGATTCGGTCCCCGGTTCCCAATTTTGGGAACTAATCACGCCTATCCATTATAGAATATCGTCCGAGAGATGGTAACTCGGCAGGAATCGTAACCCAAGCATTCGAGACAGTTGATTTTGTCACGGCACGCGCGTGTCGAGGCACATTCGGAGATATCGAACACTCTCGCGTAAAGAGCCGGGATGCATGCGTCGACTGTCCCGTGACCTCGCGGGTTATGCGGATACCGACCCATACCATTGTGCCACGACCGTAGGCAAGGTACGCGAGCATTTATATGTATTACATTCTTTACTTTCGAGAAAAAAAAAAAGAAGAAGAAAAGAATTACTTTCTTCACGAGGTTCTTTCGCGTGCCGGGTTAGCATCCCGATTTCAAGTACGAGGAGACCCGAGAACGCGATCGCCATCTCCCGCAATTTCCCGAGTCTTGTCGTGTCTGCACTTGGCGGGTAAAATTAAAGCCCGTACCAACGGAAATTTCGTAGCAACTTTTTACTCGCTTTTGGACACGATGGGTTTGTCCACTTGTGCTCGCACAGCAAAACCCAAGTCAGATTTCCCTGCAGGGTCCCGTCGCATGTTCGTCGTGACCCGATGCACGTGAGCCCGATGCATGCCGCTCTTAATTCACATGGATATGAACGCGTTAAATTCGCGTTATCTGATAAATTTCTTTTCTTTCGAATTTGGATACATGAATCCAAGGTGGGTGAGGAACCCCCGTGATGGGTATCTCGACCGGTTTCTTGAATCGAAGTTCTCCATTTTCCAATGGCCCAAAAACGAAAATAAATCGGGGTACCAGAATTGTCAAGGAATACATTTTGTTTTGATTAGTGCCCAGAGTGGATTGATCTTATCCGAAAAGAACTCTCGAGGTTTATATCAATTGATGATGATCGGTACAGTTTTTCAAATACGATTTTGATTTCTCAGGGTCGAGGAACCAAATCCAAACTTTGAATTGCTGATCGACTGTACGGAATTTGGACGGCTTCCAGTGAAAAACGGGTTGCTCCATCTGCTTATACAATTCAAGGGTTTGTTTGGGTAGAAAACGACAAGGTAAGAATAATAATAATAAAAATGTTCGGAAATCGCATTTTTAAGTGGTTATTGGGTCCACCTCCAGTGTAGAATAATCATTACACTTTGATCATTGGATGAGCAACGTGTCACTATGTTTTCTAGCCAATTATTTCAGATTTTTTACCTTTCTTCTCTTTCACTTCATGCTCACTCCAAGTTGAGGGAGGCCCCATCTTCTCAATTTGAATTGAGATTTTCTAGTATTTTATTATTTTCACATAGGTTTTTCGTGTTTTTTCGTTACCGCTCTTCTCTACCATTAGACGTATTTTCTGTTTCAATTTTTGAGAATCAACTGAGGAGCACGATGAGTTCATGCTGCACTGGAAGCGGTTAATACGACTTCTGGAAGCTTTTAGCTCTCGATTTAGATTTAAATTTATGAGCTCTTTTTTCTCGATTTAGATTTAGATCTGTGAGTTTCTAAGAAGCGTTTCCGTGCTCGTTCGACCTCTCCCGATTTATATCTAAATCTGGGAACCTGTTCAACCCGTTTTTTTGTGTCTCGAACCGTCGAGACAGATCTATTCTTGCGAAACGAGAGTGTGCTTATGCAAGGATGTCATTCCAAATCAAATCCAGAGCAACTCGCTACGGACGAAAATCCATCTTAAACAAAAAAAAACACGAGGTCACGAAAATCACACCGGCCCTAAAGAATCGAGCACGGCGCTAACCCCCCCACCGACCCGACGAACCGAAGGTGCTGAATGCCAAGCAGCACGGGTCGGTCGCTTTGGCTGCTCGTCAGTAAAAATTGCTCTCGGATTGTGCTAGTTCATTTGGCCCGAAAATTCTCAGATTTCGCGTGCCCACATTTAATGTTGCCTATGAATTACCAGAAATTATAAAAAAAAAGTTGGTGGGAGTTTACATTTTCGAGAGAAAGATAAAAATAAAAACTAATATGTCTTTTTTAAATAATTAATCAAAATTTTCCCCCCCCACCTATCGGTCGCCGTCCCGGATTGCCGACCTTTCAAAGCACGAAGGACACGTACATGAAACGGGGGCCGCCAACAAAGGCTAAGGGACTAAAGGAAATTTCCACACCCGCACGGGACGTGACCGCAAATGCGGCTGCGGGTTCTTGGAATGGGGCGGGAATAGAACAAGAGTCCCCGTGTAAACCCTAGAACCAGATTGTTAGTTCCGTTTCGATTTGTAAGGTAATATTAGACTTATTTTGAGCGCCTCGAAGCTTCTTAAGCTACCTAGGGTCGAATCTCTTCTTCTTTGCAACTTGTGGATCTTTGTTTTTTTTAAGGACAAGTCCTAGAACTTGTCACAAAAGTGGAATTGAATCCTAAAGATTTCGAAAAGTGCAGTAAAATCCTAAAACTTATCAAATTTGTGCAATAAAGTCATAAAACTTATCAAATTGGTGCAATCAAGTCTTCAAACTTGTTAATATTTTCCGTTTGTGGAGTTGGATGGAGTTAAGGGAAGGAAATGACTTGATTGCACTTTTTTAAACTTTTAGAGCTCAATTCCACTTTCGTGATAAGTTTTAAAACTTTATTACACTTTTTGAAAGTTTTATAACTCATTCGATGTTTTAGGACTTTTGGTGCACTTACCCCTTTTTTGTAAACATAAGATGGATTCCGGTTAAACGCTAGTTTTACTCGAGAACTGGTCTAGCTATGATCCGCCCTTGCCCACTACTGTCGATGTTTTTACCCGTGACTGTACTTGGTTCGCTTGAGAACCGACCTCGAAACTCTAATCATAAGTCAACCTAAAGTCGCGATCCTTTATCAGGCTTTGGCACGTCGACCATCTACCATCTAACATACTTTAATCTATCGACCTAAGGATACCAACTTGGGTTCTAGGTCTAGGAAGCATATCGATTCTAATAGACCCCCATTCGATTCTTGGATTTGGGTAGAGCCGATTCGAAATTCTAAAGCCCCATTTCTTCACGAAAATCAGTAATTCAGAAAATATTTTTTTTAATTTTGATCGTTTGTATTGCTTGAAAAGTGAGCAAGTGAAAAAATTCTTCATTATTAGCAAAAACGAGGCATAAATTATTGTTGATTATAAAAAAAAAATATATTGATTCATTTTTCTAAGTTATATAAATCATCAAAATTGCAGCAAAATGAAAGGAGAGAGCAGGAAATTACTTCTTCTCACAAAAAAAGGATAAAATTTGTCGCAGATCAGAGCCTAATGAGTCAATTTTAGAGACAAACCTCGGGGAATACCTTCTTATTACATACTCATATATAGATAATGTACGTGAAAACGGGGTTTCCATTATTCAAGTAGTATTACAAAGAAATTAGATACCTAAAAAGATTAATTTTGAATGAATAGCAGTTATTATCATAAAGATAATTGGCATTAAATTACCATAGCATCTAAATTAAAACTATGAGAATCTTCCTCATGCGTACGATCCGAAGCTGCAACTGCTACAGAATCACGTTCCTGCAGATAGTAGATCATATGCTTCGATTCCTAAGTTTCGTAGGTTTTTCTTTTATGTTCTTTTATTATTATTATTATTATTATCTGAACTAAATGCAGAAGAATATACAATGGGCCACTTGTAATTAACTCGATAAATCTCTAGTTAAGTTTCATGATTGATGCTTATCACATAGTTTCCCGTACTAATAATTCAAAGAAATCTTTATGCACCATCCAATGTATCCAATCACGGGGGTGCCGGTCCTCATGATTGCGACGTCCAAATTACCATGCTCCCTACATACTTATCTCAAACTGATTTTTGCATCATAAAAATTTCAAATGAGTGATCCGCAATGCATTTATCGAAAACTAATTTTCTCATAATGAGAAATTCCAAAACCTGGCATGCTCGCCACGGATCAACCATCCGATGTCCCTCCCAGTATTGCTGATGTGGAAAATTCATGTGTCGAGCGACTCGTTTAAAGTGGATCGGACATACAAAATTCACCAGAAATGGCTCTTTTACCTACGATTGCAAATGACTAGAAATAACCAAATTGACTTCCTATACATGTGGTTGCTCTGATGTCCTTGTCCGGCTCGAACCA